GGCATAACTGAGGAAGGAGTAAATTGCAGAAAAGGCAGTTTGGCAGCCTTTTCTGCCAAAGAAAGCCAGGGGACAACATCTTAAACAGACTTGGTCACAGGAGAAAACATTTGTGGAAGTCCATCCCTCTACTGTGAAGTCGTTATCATGGTTAGTGAGACAACTAGTTAGGGCGGTTTTCTTTTCCCAAACAGGTAGTTAGTTACTTTCTGTAATGAAAATGGGTTTGTATCTTAGTAAAATTCATGTTCTATCTGCTTGTTCCACAGCTGTTGAAATGGAATAGCTTTTAAGATTTATTTCATTTAGCTTAAATATCATAAAGTGGTTGCAGTGTATAACTACTCCATTTTATATGTTATGTAAAAAAGATTGTTTTCCATGTAAATAAACATTAAAGTTATCCTCCTTCATACCAAGTATCCCAGTAAAACTGGTCTATTTGTCTTGGAGTAAAGTATAATATATTACTGGTTAAAGGTGATTTAATCAAGCCTGCTTTACCATTTGTGAAGTGTGCAGAGAAAATAATGTCAATTCTTCATTAAATTGACCGTTAAAATTGATTTATTTTTTTTTTATCTGAGTATATTTCTCCTCTGCCTGCATTGTATTATGGTTTATCCAGTTTTACACTATAACTGGTCTTTAGCCAGTGGGTTGGGAAAGAAAAAAAAGGGTCCTGTAAAGGCATCACTGCAGTTCTATAAAAGCAAAACTGTTTGCTTACTTTAAGGATATGTGCAAGTACTGAAATATTAAATATTCTGCCATTTTTAAAGAAATATAGGGAGAGCTCATACCTGTAGAATTTGGTACATGCTTCTCGCATTTTCTGTTACCTTGTGTTAGAAGTTGTAGTATACCTTGTTTGAATTTTGCCACCTATATGCTGCAGTATTGTATATTTTCTTGCAGAAATGCAGTGTGTTACAGTCCAAGTTCTCCGAGACAGTTAGTTTTACATAAATGTTGTCACAACTGTCCAACATGATGTGCCTGACCCATGTTTTGAAACTTCTTGTTTCATACATAGATTTGGAGTCTGCTGAGATTCTTCATAGCTGCTGCTTAAAACATGGGTGTTTCACTGGTGACCTATGATGGGGATTAGTTTGTACAGACGGGTGAGCAGAGAGACTCTTAACCAGCAGCTATGGAATTCTGCAGTAAGTTTTAGTTCAGGTTACTTTCACTTTGTATAACATGAAAGCAAATTTCTCTTTTATGTTCTCTTGTATACATATTAATTATATTTATAAAATGTTCTATAATCCTGTAACTGTACTGTAAATACTATTTGATACTCAGTGGCATTCTATCCTAGGGCAGGCCCTCTTGCTGTGTCTTTTCTATCCTCTATTTGTAATAGAATCTATAGGATATATGGCTAGAAAGTTCCTTTGAGACTGAAGTATCTTCTGGTGTTGCAGAGCTGTGAGTGGAAATGATTTATTTAGACACCCTTTAATATTATTCAGCTAACAGGCAGTGCAGTGGGTGGGTTCTTAGATGATGTTGCTGCCAGCCAAGATACTATTAGGCTTTGGTTTCAGATAACTTTGGTGTTTCAGATCAGGCCTTTAAAATCTGTTTGCTTTAATTCAATCAAAGCAAAAAGATTGTAAATTGGGTCAATGTCGTAGTAAAATGTTTGAATGCCGTAAGATGCTCCTGATAAAGGCACTATTCAAGTTTACTGATTTATATATATCTGTATAGATATATATAGATGCATTCCATATGTGTATATGTATATATAATGTCTTTGTATTATAAATATCCTTCTGATTGTCTGTTCTTTTGGATCTTCCAATTAAACACATAGACCACAGCACTACTCTGCTTAAGCAAATTCATTTATTACACGCCCAGTTAGTAAACTTGACATTATGTTGCATTATCCCACACCTATAGCAAGTTACTCACCGATCTTTTGAGTATTCTATACTTGTCTCTGTCATGACATGGGCATCCCCCTTTTGCCAGGTCTCTGCATACCTGGGTGGTATGTGATCTCTGAATGCTCACTGATATGTCTGGGTTTCATGGGGTTAAGTAGTGGTGGTGGCTGGGACCAACATCTTCAAGTCCCCTGATACTCCTATGAAAAGAACATGCGTCTTTTATGCCGACTTTTCCAGTAAGTACCCAGAGCGTCCATCCCCTTCATGCAGCAGACTTCCTCTGTCTACACCCAATACAGGCAGCTTCCTTGCCTATGCTGACTGAACTGTTATCACAGTATGTGTATTTGACCAAGGGCATATGCGTGAGTGGATGGTTGACACTTGCTTAGAAGGTACTTCAGAACAAGAGAGATGATTCCAGCACTTGTGGCCGGCCTGACTGGATTATCAGCTGCTGGTAATCTGACATTCCTGAGTTTTAGAAACTGTTTGTTTTCTCAAAATCAGCTTCTGTAGCATAACACCTGCTGGGATAATAAAAAAATTACAATTGATCTTTATAAGAAATTAAGTCCTTGGTTTTGCTAATCAAATACCAGATGTAAACAGAAGTTGCCCAAGTGTGTTTTTCTTCACATCCCTCTTCCGAGTCCCTTTTACCCTGCAACAGCTCTACTGGTTAACAAAAAAATTGCATGTTTAATAGCAGAAATGTCCTCATACTTGGCTGTCATGTCTGTAACCTGTTCTCAAAAGTATACGTTCTGATGTTGAAGAATGCAACTTGTTAGTGCTCTTCCCCTGTCCTTTGCTGCCTCTTTCATCAAAATAATTAAATCTTAGTTATTTATTATGCATGCATCATGTATCATGAAGCTGTTCCTTTTCTTGAGAAATATGACAACATAAAACAACTTTCATGTTATTAGGAGGGAGGATAGTCTTTGAGGAAGTCCACTTCTTTAAGTGCACGTCTAACTGCTGACACAGAAACCAGTCTTATTGCAGAAACTATCTTATATCCTAATTCTTGTACCTTTGGTTTGAGGGGAGTGAGTGGAAGTATGGCATACGTTTTTCATTCATTAGCCATCTACAACTGGAAAGAGGGTAATCTCTAGCTCTCATCAAGCAAGTGATGTGATACAGTAACGTTCTGAATTGACGAAACTTATCAACCGCTTTATCTTATAGCTAAAGTACTGTAGGAAGGGTTGTTTTAAATCCAGGCACTCCTTAAAGGGACAGACTAAAATTGCCAATTTAACAATGTTAAACAGGTTAAAAATAGAAAAGTGGAAGGGGAGAAATGGATGTGATAAACTTAACTAAAAGACTACATAATGCTGCAGGTCTTCTGAGTTCACTGAAATGGATTGTCCTAAACCTCCTGCATTGTGCCCAGCCTTTAGATCCTATTTGTTGCTAAGCAGCTGAGTCTGTTTAAGATGGGTGATAGGTCAACTGCTCCAACAGGGGCACCATACCCAAGGATGGTGTCTCAGCATACAGTTTTCCTAGGACCAGTAGCACATGAGGTGGTTTTCTTTCCAAGAACACCACCCTTTTTAACAGCTTGAAGAGGTGGAGACAGTCACAAAGCAATGAGTATATGGCTAGAAATCAATAAATGCTATTCACTAGGCAAACCGCATTGTGGATTATGGAATGTAAATAGCTGGAGGAAGTCCCTCTTTACAGGTTGATCCTAATTCTGCTCAGCCTGCTGTTGGGGCAGGCCTAGTCTTCTGGTCCCCCACCACACTGCGTCTTTCCTCCTCAGAGGTACGAACTTAGCGGGGCTAGTTTATAACTTATACCTGTGCTCTCAGGCCTCTCATGTGCTGCTGTCAGGTTACACCTGCAGCAATACATACCAACTTGGACCACAGTCTTATGTTAAAATACATTTAAAATTCAAACACTATTTCACAGCCATGTTTTTAATATAACCGACATGCCCGAGGTGGCTAAGGTATCTTTCCACCATTGAATACATATCTACCTATGAGATGAAATATAATCCTGTTTAGACCCAGACACGGCTGACCGTCCCTCACTGCCGCCGCGGGTATTCTAAGGGCCGCGGTGCGGTAGACCCAAACCTTGGAACACTTGCTATGGCGCAGGCGCACTGCACTCCTGTCACCTTCGACAGACGGAGGCGGAAAACAGCCTGTATATAAGCATTGGTGGTTCAGTGGTAGAATTCTCGCCTGCCACGCGGGAGGCCCGGGTTCGATTCCCGGCCAATGCAACTGTGCTTTTTTTGTTCCCCTTGCTCTTTTTCCTCCTTAAAATTTAAACAAAACAAGCCAAAAAAGGTTATGGGTGTCAGTAGCCCTGCTAAAACAGACGCCAGCATGTCGCCCGCGTGGCTGGCTGGACCTTCCCTTCCCATCACCGCCCACAGAGCCTGCCCCCGCCCCCTGCCCGGGGTGGAAGTGACGCAGCCGGATTTGCCTTCAAACTGCCGGCGGCGGCAGGAGGTAGGCGGTCAGGTCGGGGGTGGGGTTAGAGTTGCTGCAGCGGCAGTAGGAGGAGGAAGGAGCGAAGGCGTTGTGGCTGCTTGGAGCAGTTGCGGCGGCGGGGCCGAGCTCTGGAGAGGAGTAAGTGAGCGATGAAACACTGTGGTATCTTTCCTCCTCGTGGCAGCTGGGCTGTCCTCCGCCCACACGTACCACTTGCGAGCGTTGGGGGGGTCCACCCCCTCTCCCGTCCGCCGGTCTGAGGCGAGGAGCGATGTCCGCGCTCCGGGCGGCATGGGGAGCCCTGAGGGGAAGCTCCCCCGGGGCGGGCGGGAGGAGGGTTCCGGCTCCCTCGTCCTGCGACCCAGGGGCCGGGACCTGCTTTGGGGAGTGAGTCGCACGGTCATTGTTGTCGCGACACCCGTGACTTTTAACACCGGCCTCGTCGGTCTTAAGTTTTTGCTGGAGCTCACGCGTGCTCGGAGCGTCACGGGATGTCGCTGCGGATTCCCCCAAGTTAATGGAGGCGCGGGTGGCTGCAGGTGCGTGGCCGCTCAGCTCCCTGCCCTGCTGCCATTGCATCGCGGGCACCGGCTCGGACACTGGGCTGCAGTTCGTTTTTCTCCTTTCACCCTCCGCCTCTTTATTTTCTTTTAAGGGAGTAAACTTTTGGCAGGTAGTCAAGTTTTCTCTCTGAACAGAGAGAAACAGTGTAGACCTCGGTTCTAGGTCCCCATTCTGCCGCAGACCCTTCTGAATTTTCTGAGGAACTTGTTAACACTGACCTTTTGAGAGAATTCCAGCCCTTGTGAAGTGGGGAGTAAGTAATATACTTTTTTTTTTTTTCTTCTTTTTTAAGTCTTTTGGCTTAAAATCTGCTAGCAGGTTTTATGTTTTCAAGGCCATGTTGTGCTAATACAGTAGCGTATACTGGGTTTTTTTGATTAATTTTTTCTTCAATAAGCATCTAGGCATGCTTGTATCTGTTGTTCCTGGTGTTTTTTTCACTATTGAATACAAGTGGATGAGAACCAGTTTGTTTCATATCCAGTAAGTCTGGCAGCTCTTCTATTTCCCAAGTAGTTAACACAATCCCGTGTTGACACCAAATGTTGCTAGGAGTGGATGTTATGAAGAAGACTGTTAAAGGTGCAAGGGAGCTCGAAGGTGATGCCAAGCCGCTGTCACCAGCACAAACTGATTCCTGAGAAATATTACTTGGGTGGGTTTTTTATGTTGTTTTTTCTCTTCTGGTTTGCTGAGAGAACTTTCTGAATTTCACGTAGTGGCTCCGATGTCAGAGCCTGTATAGCAGCCTGAAATAATGGAAATGTGCGCTCTGCCAAAAATCGGGCTTTGGCTTAGTCCAAACATTAAGGTTGGCCTGAAGAACTCTTTAGAGGTGTTTTCCTTGTATGGCTGGTGCTGTTTTCTGAGTCAGAAGGGTAGCTGCTGGGTACGCTGTAGTAACTGCTGGACCCCAACTTCAATCTTCCCTCCCAACATCTGCATCCCAACATCAATCTCTTATTTTTTAAAGTTGCAGGAGGTTTCTTTGTGAAACAGCATTGGCACTGTTCAGTTACACCTTCCCACATTCTAATGCATGAATATAAGCAGAAATTACCTGGAGTCGTTCCTTATGATAACTCCTTGAGTCATTGTGGAACACATGATGTATCCCCAGTGTTTTTCTGATGATGGGCAGGCTGTTATCTTTAAAATGAAATACAAAAAGAAGTTCTAAACACTCATTATGAAAAGTTTTATGTATTTTGAACTTTTGTTAGGTTTCAGGCCCCACTACTTTGAGCTGCTCCAAACTCTAGAAGTATTTTAGGTGCTTGCAGTAAATGAGGAAATGTGTTCTGCTACTAGAGGTGTGTTAAATTTGATGCGTTTCTGCCGTGTTAATTTCAGAGAACCATATATACTGACAACTAGTGTAGAAAGTATTCTTACTGTGAAGCATGTGTGTTTGTACACAGTGTAGAATTAAACTTGCAAGACAAAAGTGCTTAGGTTATTTTCCTTATATCTTGTGCACTGTAAACCTTACGAGCTCATTACTATTTCAGTTTGCTGTGGAACATAGATAACTTCACTGGGCATGATTCATGGAAAGGTCATGGCTGATAAGTGCAGCCTTGCTGCTTTGACATCCTGTTATGCGATAATAGTAGGTATTTGTAAATACTTAGGTGCAGGGTTAGTTGTGTATTGCTCTGGGGTTTTGGTTTGGGTTTTTTTAATTCCTTCAGGTCTGGTTTAACTTTGGATCTGTGCGTACTCATGTCTGTTCCAGGTGTGCTTGCCACCCTGAGTTGTCACAGTGTGACTTTCTGCTGCAAACTTTAATCTGGGTTCAGATTAGTACTTTTAACTCCTGTTTTTCCCCGTCTTAAAACTGCTTCAGCACCTTCAGTTACAGGTGCAGTAAGGCTACAGGCGTACATTACTGCATCAGCTGACACTGCCAGTATTCAAGTGGCAGTGCAGTGGCATGTCCAGACATAAGCAGAGTCAGCAGCTTTTTCTGCCCTGCTTGTACACAAGAGCCTTGTATTCAGAAGCCACTTCAACATCTTCTGCTCTTATGACTCAACATGAAGCAAAAAATTACATTTGTTTTCTAGTTTACACTAGATTCTCTCGCATTTTCAGTACCACAGATTAAACTGGTTGATTCCTGGGTTTTCATTGGAACTACTGCTTTTGGTTGTGCTGGAAGCATTATACACTTAAGTGATCGCCTTCTCCCCCCACCCTGTATGAGATGTTAGCTTGTTCTTCTTATATGTCTGTTTCTCCTCTCTGTCCTTCCTCTCTCTGTCTTCTCTCTGTTGTTTTATTATTGCTATTTTAACATTTCCAGATGAAAACTACTCTTTCAGGCTTCTTCCTCCACATCCCAATATTTAAGCAGAATTGCTGTTCTGCTTGGATTGCTCTACAACATTCGGGGGGGGGAGGGAGAATAGTTATCTGTGACTTCTCTCTGTGTTTGGCAGTCTAGTTTGGCTTTAGTAACTTGCTGTTACTTAATTTTTAAAAGGTTTATTAGCATCTTGCTCAACATGTGATTTTAGCAGTATTACTCATCGGTTTGAATTCTCAGGACAGGCAAACAGGTGTATCTGGTAGGATGAGCAGGAGTGGAAAATCTTGCTCCTAAATATAGCAGGGAAGACTTTGGTAATATCTGTGTGATGATCCATAGAGCAGTTGACAAACACCTTCAGGCTTTTTTCTCCTGAGGTAAAAACCAACAAGGCTCCAAAGTCAAACTGTGCCTCCAAAGCCTAATTAGCCCGGGTTATGGCAGGCTTTGTAGTTTTTGGTCACATTAACTATATCAGCTTGTAGCCATCGCAGCCAGCTCAGCCAGCCTCTGGCTGGAGTGAGATTATATAGTGTAGGTCCTTAGGTTAGCATGTTTCACAGTCTCAACCCCACAGGTCCTTTCTCTGCGTGTGGGTGTGGGCTGTCAGAGGCGTATCTGCAGCTCCTCTGCTGCTAGAGTTTTGCTGTTCAGGCTGAAGCTTTTCACAGCAGCTGTCTGCTCCAGGGGAAATAGGAGAAGAAAGAGAAAAGAAGCAGAGAGAAGAGAATATTGGCTCAGGAACGGATTAGCTGTGAGTCCATGCGTAAAGCTACTTGGGAAGGACACAGAAAAAGCAGTGGGAGGTATAAAATGTTTGACTTGTACTTAGCAGCCCCTCTTTACAGCAATAGCTTGTCTGGTGTGTGCAAGATGTAGCTTCTGAAACCTCCAATACTTTGTCTGAATTTGACCCTGACCTGGTCTTGAAATGTGTTGAGTCTTCAGTCTGTTTATTGCGCATGTGAGTTTAGTACCTCTTACATTCTTTAAATAGTTGATCTGTGTCAAGTATGCTTCATCCCAGGGCTTAGCCGTAATTGCTTTTCTGCAATTGCGTGTTACGGGTAGTGGGTACAGGTACCACAATGAGAGCAAGATGACTCCTGCAAGCATGCTTTCTGTGCTTATTTTAATGCTTTCTGTGCTTGGTTCTAGGAGATTAGGAGAGTGGGGAAACTCCAGGTGTGCAAGAGACAGGAGGAGTGGACATAGTGCAGGTATCTTGGGGAAGGAAGGGGGTGGGGTATGTAAGTAACGAAAAAGAGCATAGGCTGATTGCTGTATGGGCTGTGGTGACTGGCAGTTGTGTGTTTGTACAAATAATATTGTATTTGTATAAATAATAATTCTGAGGTATTCTAATGGAAAGGGTCTGATTCTGCTAGTGCTGCAGAGTGGAAGTGGTTGCAGTTCATGATGCTTGCTCCATTAAAAAAAAAAAGAAAAAAAGCCAAACAAAGCCAACTAAACCACTGGTAGGGAAAAGTAGCGTGAACAGTATGTTAAATAAAGTGAGTATCTACACAGTTAGTGTTCAGTTGTAGCCTTTTCTTACTTTTTAGTGACAACTTAGCAGCCTCAGTATTTTTCAAGAGTTTCTTTTTAAGTGTAAAAATGAAGGTAATAGGAAGGTTCAAGCTGGGCATGGAAGGTGGGTATTTCTTTCAAAGAAATATTAAATAATACTGAAGAATTGTAAAATCAAACAAATGGAAAAATAGTGCTCACAAGGTAAAATCAGACTGTTAAACTTATATGCATGGAATGTTAAGGCAAAAAAACCCCACCAAAACTTAATTCATATTGGAGATGGGCTTTGGTTTATTGTTTGTTGGATTGTTGTTTTTTTTAAGCTGGAGGCTATAGTATGGGCAGTGTAGTGCTAACAGGAAAATAGCCATCTGTCTTAGAATAGAATAAAGAGGGAAGGAGAGCATGCAGTTGAGGCTTGCAATGGTACATTTAAATCTGCATATCTTAGCTATGCTTTTCAACAGGATCTTCATTGTGTGAAACAATTTTAGGAAGTGAAGAGTTGAATTTTTACTAACAGAGTAACAATTATATTTTCATATGAATTGTATTCATTTTTTCTAAGCAGTATCTTTCCAGCTTCTATATTTTGATAATGCCAAATGAGGTAATAGTTAAAAAAATGTATTCTGATCCTGGGATTATTAATTTTTTCCTTAATATTTCCTGTTTTTCCAGCTTCATGTTGAACATGAGCATTGTTATGATCAGTGAGAATGTAAAGCTGGCCCGTGAATATGCCTTATTGGGAAATTATGACTCTGCAATGGTCTACTACCAGGGAGTTCTTGACCAAATGAATAAGTATCTCTACTCTGTCAGAGATACATATCTGCAACAGAAATGGCAACAGGTGAATAATATTTTTCTGGAATATTTTGAGGGAAAAGCATTAAAGTAGCAAAAATTGTCTGTCATGGTAAAGTATAAAAATACTCACACTGTCCTCTGATAAACTGTAGTGCTGTTATATGTAGGCGTTTTTCCTTGTTATTTTATAGACTTACTTAAGTAATCTTTATGACTTCTTGCTCTGATGGTGACAAAACAGGCAATGGAACACAGCCCTGGGGATCCAGTGTGCTGCCTGACTTGTCAGCTTCCTGCTGATGAGTGCCCCTGTTATGCTGAAGTTTTGTAGGCTGGTATCATTTTGAATAGTCTTACTTCCTTCGCAGTGTTTCAGTAGTGTGACTTAGATCCTTAATAGAAGCTGAGTTGTGGCCACCATGTTAATTTATCTTTAATACAAACCACCATTTTTTTAATCAACACTGATTCCACAAGGCTGTGTTCTTTTGTGTCATACTTATTTAATATGCAGAATATGTCAAAAGTCTCTTAGTCGTTAAATCCAAAATCCAAATTTGTTTATTCTTTAAATTTGCTAAGGAAAGCAGAAAAAAGTTTTTGGTATCTGATTTCTGTTATTCTTGTCTACTAAAGTATGACCAGGTAGCTTGTGAAACTATGGAATCCATCCAGGCATTACATGGGCTTGAAATCAAGACTCATAAACTTACTTGCAATGTGCTTAATCCACTTTGTTGTTGGTTGTTTGTTTTTTTTTCCTAATCAGGTTTGGCAAGAGATAAGTGTGGAAGCTAAGCATGTAAAAGATATAATGAAAACACTAGAGAGTTTTAAACTAGACAGTACGCCACTGAAAGCTTCACAACAGGAATTACCAGCTCATGAGGCAGAAGTCTGGTCTTTGCCAGTGCCTGCTGAACGTAGGTAAGAGGAAATTTGAAGACCTAAATTAGCATTTATCAGGGCAAAGTGAACATTGACTTTGGCCTGTTCTTGTGTAATTTTTGTTCTAGAACTTAGATGTGTAACACACCAGCAGCTTGCCACCATTTGTGGTCAAGGAGAGGTCATTTTGAGGCAGCCTGCTTCAGAGCATTCTTGGGCTTTTATCTTGTATACACTTGAGTAATGTCAAGTTTGGTGCTTGTTTTTTGTTGTTTTGGGGGGGGCGGGTAGAGGCATTTTGGTTTGGGAAAGGTGTTTTGTTTGGTTACTCGTTTGCTCTTTCCCTTTTTTTTTGGGGGGGGGGTGGTTGTTTTGTTTTTCCCTGCCTTAAGATAAACTTGTCATTCTGTTGCAGCTCAACTCTATTCTTTTATTAATCTTCTTACCAACTTAAAAATGATTCTGCATGTAGCTGATATGAAAAGGATGAAGGCATGTTATCAGAATAATATAAAATCTAGAAGTGTCCAAGCTCAGTTCCTTTGTGTAACAACGTGGTTCCCTGATCATGAACTGGTCAGCGAGGCTAGCATAAGCTCAAGGGGAGGGCTAGGAACAAGCAGCTTCAGGCAAGCCTGCTTATTTCAGAATTATGCTGGGTTAGTATCTGTGAAACCAAGGCCTTGTGGTGTGGTTTGATGATGCAGCTGCTGCTGAAGGATAGTCCTACCCTCCATAGTTGCCGGAGGGGTTTGTTTCGTTGTGTTTTTTTTTTTTGCTTTCCTCTTTGTTGGTGTTGGTTAGCTGTTTCAGAATGCTAAATGAGCAAAAAAAGACATTGTTTTGTGGGGCTAGTGTTTGTTTCCCACACCCCCACTTCCCTGAAATTAACTATCTGAACTGGTTAATTGCAGGTTCTGACACATGCCTGTAGTAGCTTGAAGGAGGGAACAGGAGTGCATGCAAAGCAGACACGAACTGTGCATTTTGACATCAAGAGACTATTAGATGAGCATAGCTGTTCTTTGAGGCTTTGAACTTAAGAGCTATTTCTCATATATCTGTAACTTCAGTCTTTATGGGTACATTTTCACATTTCTTTTTTAAATTATTTTAAGTCTAACTTCTGAAAGAAATGGATCTTGTGTGATCACACTATTCCTGTCGATCTCATTTAATAACTAGGAACACTGTTACCCAAATTCATTCAAACCTTCTGGAAGGATAGAGTCTCAGAGGTAGAACCCTCCTAATGTTTTGAAGCATTCTAGAGATAAACTTGTGTTTCTAAAATGGGAAAGACTTGAGCGAACTGTTTCTGTTTCATTTAAGTTGTTATCTGCTGAAGTATTGACTTGTGATAATACGAAAAAGCCATGGTGAACACTTAGGCCATGTTGCATTGAAATAACCACACTAAATTCCTGTACTGAGATAGCAGGACTCAAATTTAGGTGGAAATTAGATGTGTAATCATAGAATCATAAAATCATAGAATAGTTAGGGTTGGAAAGGACCTTAAGATCATCAAGTTCCAACCCCCCTGCCATGGGCAGGGACACCTCGCACTAAACCATATCACCCAAGGCCTCGTCCAACCGGGCCTTGAACACTGCCAAGGATGGAGCATTCACAACCTCTCTGGGCAACCCATTCCAGTGCCTCACCACCCTAACAGGAAAGAATTTTCTCCTTATATCCAATCTAAACTTCCCCTGTTGTAAGTTTTAACCCATTACCCCTTGTCCTATCACTACAGTCCCTAATGAATACTCCATCCCCAGCATCCCTGTAGGCCCCCTTCAGATACTGGAAGGCTGCTATGAGGTCTCCACGCAGCCTTCTCTTCTCCAAGCTGAACAGCCCCAACTTTCTCAGCCTGTCTTCATATGGGAGGTGCTCCAGTCCCCTGACCATCCTCGTGGCCCTCCTCTGGACTTGTTCCAACAGTTCCATGTCCTTTTTATGTTGAAGCCACCAGAACTGCACACAATACTCCAAGTGAGGTCTCATGAGAGCAGAGTAAAGGGGCAGGATCACCTCCTTCGACCTGCTGGTCACACTCCTTTTGATGCAGCCCAGGGTACGGTTGGCTTTCTGGGCTGCGAGCGCACACTGAAGCCAGCTCATGTTCATTTTCTCATGGACCAGCACCCCCAAGTCCTTCTCTGCAGGGCTGCTCTGAATCTCTTCTCTGCCCAACCTGTAGCTGTGCCTGGGATTGCTCCGACCCAGGTGTAGGACCTTGCACTTGGCATGGTTAAACTTCATGAGGTTGGCATCAGCCCACCTCACAAGCGTGTCAAGGTCCCTCTGGATGGCATTCCTTCCCTCCAGCGTATCAACCGAACCACACAGCTTGGTGTCATCGGCAAACTTGCTGAGGGCGCACTCAATCCCACTGTCCATGTCAGCGACAAAGATGTTGAACAAGACCGGTCCCAACACTGATCCCTGAGGGACACCACTCGTTACTGGTCTCCAGCTGGACATTGAGCCATTGACCACAACTCTTTGCGTGCGGCCATCCAGCCAGTTCTTTATCCACCGAGTGGTCCATCCATCAAATTGATGTCTCTCCAATTTAGAGACAAGGATGTCGTGTGGGACAGTGTTGAACGCTTTATACAAGTCCAGGTAGATGACCAACTGCTCTACCCCTGTCCATCAGTTCTATACCCATGAAGGCCACCAAATTGGTCAGGCAGGATTTCCCCTTAGTGAAGCCATGCTGGCTGTCACCAAGCACCTTGTTGTTTTTCATGTGCCTTAGCATGCCTTCCAGGAGAATCTGCTCCAAGATTTTGCCAGGCACAGAGGTGAGACTGACTGGTCTGTAATTCCCTGGGTCATCCATTTTCCCCTTCTTGAAAATGGGGGTTATATTTCCCTTTTTCCAGTCGTCGGGAACTTCACCTGACTGCCATGATTTTTCAAATATGATGGCCAGCGGCTTAGCAACTTCATTCGCCAGCTCCTTCAGGACCCGCGGATGGATTTCATCAGGACCCATGGACTTGTGCATGTTCAGATTTTTAAGATGGTCTTGAACCAATTCCTCTCCTACAGTGGGCCCAAGGTCTTCATTCTCACAGTCCCTGTGTCTGCCTTCCAAGACTTGGGTGGTGCAGTCAGAGCCTTTGCCAGTGAAGACCGAGATAAAGAAGCCATTCAGAACCTCAGCCTTCTCCAAATCCTATGTAGCTAGTTCTCCCAAGAGCTTCCTGAGGGGGCCTATGTTCTCCCTAATCTGTTTTTTATTTGCTATGTACCTGTAGAATCCTTTCCTATTATCCTTAATATCCCTTGCCAGATTTAATTCTAACTGGGCCTTAGCTTTCCTGACCTGGTCCCTAGCTTCCAGGGCAGCGTCCCTGTGCTCTTCCCAGGCCGCCTGTCCTTGCTTCCACTTTCTATAAGACACTTTTTTCATTTGAATTTTCCTCAGCAGCTCCTTATCCATCCAAGGAGGTCTCCTGGCCCTCTCCTGCTGCACTTCCTTCTGGTTGGGATGCAACACTCCTGAGCTTGTAGCAGGTGGTCCTTGAAGACCACCCAAGAGTCTTGGGCCCCCCTGCCCTCTAGGGCTATATCCCATGGAACCTTTACTAAGCAGGTTCCTGAAGAGGCCAAAGGCTGCTCATTTGAAGTCCAGGGCAGTGAGCTTGCTGCACGCTCTTCTCACTGTCCTGAGGATCTCAAATTCGAGCATCTCATGATTGCTGCATCCAAGGCTGCCCTGGAGCGTCACATTTCCTATGAGCCCTTCCCTGTTGGTGAGCACAAGGTCAAGCATGGCACCTCTCCTTGTCAGTTCCTCTATTACTTGCAGAAGGTAGTTGTCTTCCACACAATCGAGGAACCTCCTGGATTGCTTGTGGCCGGCTGTACCATCATTCCAACAGATGTCAGGGTGGTTGAAGTCACCCATGAGGACAGCGGCCTGTGAGCGTGAGGCTTTTCCTATCTGCCTATAGAGTGCTTCATCCACAGGTTTTCCTTGATCAGGCGATCTGTAACACATCCCCACAGTAATGTCTCCCATCACTGTTTTCCCTTTAACCCTGACTCACAAACTCTCTGTTAACTGCTCACCCATCCCCAGACAGAGCTCGATACTCTCCAGCCTATCCCTAACATAAAGGGCACCTCCCCCCTCCCACCTGCCAGTCCTGTCTAAAGACTCTAAAGAGTCTGTAACCTTCCATTCCAACACTCCAGTCATAGGAGCCATCCCACCATGTTTCTGTGATGCCTATTATATCATAGCCCCATAGACATGCGCACATCTCTAATTCCTCTTGTTTGTTACCCATGCTATGGGCATTTATATAGAGGCTATTCCTTTATTTTGACCTTTGTGGTGGAATTTAGAGATGCCTGGGTGTTCATAAGTAGAAGTATAGGTTGGTAGATATTCCATTTGGGGAGTGAAAAGACCTTAACACATATGATCTTGTCCATTAGCGTATTCATGTTGGCTATTATGCATTTCACATTGAGAAGAGATGTACAGTTGTGACAGACTTGCTGCTGTGACTCAGTTAAAGACAGCTTTTATGAATGTACTGAACCCTGATATATCTTGAGTGATCCATAATACTAGGATTACTTTTATTTATGAAATATACAAAGCAAGGAGCTTGTTTTAAGCAAATGAGCCCTAAGCGTGTGGGAAAGGAAAAGTGGATTTTCAGTGACTATCTGAAAATGTCTGTTTTGTTTCTGACATACAGATTTTTATTTTGAGTAAAATGGCTTTTCAGTTTGTAGCCTTGATTTGGTTATGTAGTGCTCACCAGTGACTTTACACTGAGGCTTTTTTCATATGTTACAACTAATTAGACCTTCGCCAGGACCTAGAAAACGTCAGTCTGTTCCGTGCAGTGATTGCAGAGGTCATAACAATCGTGTGAGTGCAGCTGTCAGAGGCCCTCACCGTCCATCCTCTCGAAATCCCAATGATAAAGGGAAGGCGGTTCGCGGCCGGGAAAAAAAGGATCAGCAAAGTAAAGGAAAAGAGGAAAAGGTAAACTTGCAAATAACTTCATGGAGTTGAGAAACTCAGTCTTGTTTTCTTAATATTGAGTGTATTATAAAATTAGATGCCTATAAATGTTCTGTTCAATCAGCATGCTGATTTGAATCGCACTTTGTAAGGTATCTTTGCTTTATGGGCAGTCTTAGTTACAGATTAAGTAAAAACAAACAAACCCCCAAAAACCACAACCAGTAAAAAAAAAAACAAACCTCAAACCTCCCAAACAACCAAACCCTGAAAAAAAACCTAAACCTTCTTTTAGAGGAAGTGATCTGGTAAATGTGGGCTTGTTTACTGCTACTTGGATATAGTATAAATCTGAATTATTGAAGCCGAACCTGATAGAGCTTGTTCAAATGAGACGTCCTTGCTTTCATATATTCTAGGCTGACACTGACTTACCTTTTCCAAAATATTTCAAGATCTATTTAATTGTAAAAGGGATGCCTTTTCTTATTTTTTGGTTGATATCTGCTATTAGTTCCAGACTCTTCAGTTTAAAACAAACTGAATCCCAACATACTTCATGAGAGGGAATGATCCATGCAGTCAGAGTGTTTTAAGTTTTGCTTGTGCTCTGGTCTTCATGAATTTAACTGACCAGAGTAGCAGGTCATACTGAAGACACTAAACTCATAGCTTTCCAGAGTCTGGACAAGTCAAATATCCATGTAACAGTTTGATAGCTTCATCCACCATACGCTGTGGCAAGATGTCATAGCCTGTAGAGGTAGTATAAACTGCAAGGGTGGAATTATTTAGTGATGTAAGCTACTGTTTTTTATTAAGAGCTAAATTACATTGTCTTTGACTGACAATCCTCTCTCAGTATGGATAAAAACACACAGAGACAGGGTAGGTCTTTCTTTCTTTTTTACAGTCATTCTGTTAACACAAGTGCTTGCTGTTAAATGTATAAAGAATGGCGTATGTCTGTTGCATTTTATTTCTTTTCACTTGCATGGTCTCTGCTGTTTGAGCCCTTTCAGCAGTATAGCTTCTTTGCTTCTGCTTTCCTGCTGTATCAGTTAATTAGCTCTTTTTTTACTTCTGTGGTCTTCCTACAGATCACCTTTTCTTATCCTGCATATGGAAGTCCTGCTTATTTTTTTTTGGTCTCTCATATATATGGCATATTTATGACTCACATCTCATGATTTGAGATACTCTAGCTTAGTATGACACTTTCTGATCTAGCCTTATGTGTAATTCCACCTACCCATCTACTGTCTCAAAGTTTTTGATTCCTCTGGAAAAAAACACTGTGATAGGTGTATGCAGTTTTGATTACCTACTAAAGCAAAGGAACTGCATCAGTACAATATGCTGACATTTCCTTTCTGGAGAAGGAAGTGGGATGAGAGCAGTACAGAATTCTGGGAGAACCACATAGATCCTGCAGTGTACCAGGAATATGGATGCTTCATAATTTTCATGCTGGTTTATGTTGCTGCCTTCTAGAAGTATGATGCTATTGTGGACTTGTATAAAAATCCATTAGTAGCATAACCATTGTTACATGCGTATATCTTTTATATGTAGAACAAATGTGCATCGGAGATTTCAGAGGCTGAGCCAAAGAAATTTGATAGTACTGGATATGATAAAGATTTAGTAGAAGCTTTGGAAAGAGATATAATTTCTCAGAATCCCAACATTCGATGGTAAGTTTGAATACTGCTGACAGTTTTTCTGAGTTATTTCTTTTTCCTCTCATGTAATATGACAAGACTGAAGTATTTTGTTGTTGTTGTTGGTTGGGGGTGTTTGTTTGGGGGGTGTGGTTGGGTGTGGTGGGTTTGTGTTGGGTTTTGGGGTGTGTGTTGTTTGGTTTTTTGGTTTGTGGTTTGTGTTTTTTTTTGTTTTTGTTTGTGGGTGGTTTGGTTTTTTTTTTTTGGTTTTTTTGGGTTGTTTGGGGTGTTTTTTTTGTTGTGGTGGTTTGGGTTGTTTTTTGGGGGGTGGTTTGTGGGTTGGGGGTGGGGGGGGTTTGTTTTTTGGTGTTGGTTTTGGGGGGTGTGGTTGGTTGTGTCCACCAGGACCCCCAGGTCCCTCTCCCCTACACTGCTCTCTAACAGGTCGTTCCCCAATCTATACTGGAACCTGGGGTTGTTCCTGCCCAGATGCAGGACTCTACACTTTCCCTTGTTATATTTCATCAAGTTTAGCATATGCTTGCGCATAAAAAGTACCTACAGGTTTTCTTTACTGATTAAATAGGTGAGTAAACTTCTTGTGTAGCTGAATATTTTTAGAACACTGTTTTTTTCCACCTGTAGATTCATAGAATAGTTTGGGTTGGAAGGTGCCTTTGAAGACCAGCTGGTTCAACCCCATGCCATGGCCAAGGATATCTTTTGCTAGATCAGGTTGCTCAAAGCCCAACCTGAGCACACAAAGCTTCTTAAACATTTCTGAGAGTCCTAAAATGGATTTTTAGGTAGACTTTTGCAATGTAGAAGATTCTAGTATCTATCAGTGTCTCTTTGTTTAAAAACCTGTTTTGCTACCCAGGAGCATACCAAGATAGTAAACCAATTAACAAAGAAGTTATGTCAATATAGGAACCCTTTGAAATCTTGTTGGACATGCTGTGACTGCCAGGATAAAATATAATCATGTGCCAGTACCTTTACATAAATGTGGTAAATATTAAACCTTATACAAAGGTTGGTTTGTGTTCCAAGTGTTTCCAAGCTTAGGTGATTTTTGTGAGGATTAAATGATCAAAGATCTTCTGGAAAATAAAATAGGCTTAAAAAACCCCCAGCCTTGAGCAGTCCCACAAACAACTTGTTAATGCATGCAGCTGACATGTATTTCACTTTAACATGTAAATATATGTTTCGGTTTTCATGTTGAATCTTAAATTGCAACTTCAGATTTGAAACTAATTCTTCATACAGATATGTTTTGAAACCAAAATATTACTTGGGCAAATGCTGATAAGTGAAATGCCCTAAGAGTTACCCTCAGGAAATCAGACCAGCTTATAAGGTATCTAAGAATTAATAATTCTGTAACTCTGAAAAAGAATTCTAAAAATTCTTTTTACTTCAACTCTGTTTTCCAGTCTTCGGTAGATTGTTCTCATACTAATGAAAGCTGGCATTCAGGTCTCATGGGCAGCCAAACTCTTGGCAAAAGAAGAAAGTATCATCTGTAACTAGCATAAGTTTAAACGGCTTGCCTTATCCTGCTTATTCTTTCCGTGAATAAGATCAGCGATGCCCTCATGAAAGAGTTGTGTCTCATTGCTTTTGCGTCTAGCTGCAGTCTGCTAGTCAGATGTCAGCTGTTTTGCTGTAGGCTTTTATCTGTTTCTGTAGGCTTTTGACACAAGCATAAATCCAACTTTTTTTCCTGAATTATGGAAGAGCTGTTACATAATAAGTTTAACTGCATATTGTTTTGAGTTGTGGACTGATTCTTTTGCAGCCTGTCAGAATCTGTCAAACAGTTTCCTCTTTCTTGCCAGGGATGACATTGCTGATTTAGTAGAAGCCAAAAAGCTGCTTAAGGAAGCTGTAGTTTTACCCATGTGGATGCCGGAGTTTTTTAAGGGAATTAGAAGACCATGGAAGGTATGAAAAAATCTGATCCTGTGATCTTAAGTAGGGTTATAAGATTGGATCTTGGCGGAACAAGAAATTTCAGGTGTTCTGTAGTATATGTAAATTCTTTCCACGTTTCAGTAACAAAGTTTATGGTAAATAATACTAACAAAATAAAGATGTCAGCTGGATAAATACATTGTCTTCAGCTATATTGTATTACTGTAATAGCAATTAATTACTTACCTCTGAATAACTCTTCATGGGAAAGTTTACATCTAGTATTTTACTATTACACTGCTAAACTCTGAAATTGTCTGTGTTTTGATTCTTGTCCTGAAAGTGGTTCTTTTCATTCTAATAGGGTGTTCTGATGGTTGGTCCTCCTGGTACTGGAAAGACCCTCCTGGCAAAAGCTGTAGCGACTGAATGCAAGACTACTTTTTTCAATGTTTCTTCTTCCACACTTACCTCAAAATACAGAGGAGAATCTGAGAAACTTGTTCGTCTGCTGTTTGAAATGGTGATTGAAGTTCCTGAACATAAATAGTGAGATAATGAAGTAGAATTACCTGTGGAATAGTGAAACTTAGCTAAGGTGTAGAAGTAAATAGTGAGATAATGAAGTAGAATTACCTGTGGAATACTGAAACTTAGCTAAGGTGTAGAAGTCGTAACATAAACAGCTCTCCAAGCTTCAAACATTTTAGGACCTTCTGATTTGGCCAAAATCTGTTTATTCCTAAATAGCTTTATAAAAATGGAAAAATTAGGTCATCTTTATTTTCAGGGTTAGCTTTTTATGTTAGAGGTAGCTCACTATAAGCTGATAAGCACTGTAGAACATACTTGAATGTAAAAGTGAAGGTGGAATCTAATTGCTTTCTGGGTGAGAACCCTGCTTAGGCTGTGCATGTTTTGTTGTTGTTGTGTGTGTTTTTTTTGTTCTTAAAATAAGTGGAATTGCAAACTGTAGTTGTCTTCAGAGCATGTAACACTTGAAATTGGCTCAGAATATGTAGTCTTTTATGTTTTCCCATGTGTTAACAGGTCTGCATGCAGTGTTTGCTACTGTGCCTGGTACTGAAGGGGGCAGCAGAGTTGCAGTTACAGTAGTCAGAAAAATCAGGAAATACAGGATCATAGTTTGATAGGCATGATATCAACTCTTTAATATGATCAATCAGTGATCAATCAAAAATGCAGATACATAATGGACAGCATCTCAACTGCTTTAGGACAACAGTTTTTATTTTCCCAGATCCTTGTCTTTAACCTCTCTTGGTTTTTGAAAGACTAGATTATTTTGTAGTTAACCTGTTTTTTGGACAGGTTCCATATTATGATGTCCTAGCTTTAACTTGAGTTGTCATTCCTGCTTGAATAACTGATGACTTTCACAGTTATAAGTCTTACTGTGTTATTATTATGTCTGTAAAACTGCCTTTAGCTTATTAAACATTATTTATAACCGTAACAATTACAGGACTTTGCCAAAAAACATGCTGCTCAAATGGTATTAATCAATGCACAACTGCTCTGTAGTTCTGTGCAGTGGTCAGAGAGGGAAGGTTAGGTATTGTCTGATACTTACCTGTTTTGAATGTGCTGCTGTTTCTTAAATGTGAGTGGACTGCTATTTCAGTTTCTGCTTTATCTTTTGCCTTTTTAGGCTCGATTTTATGCCCCAACAACTATATTTATTGATGAGATAGACTCTATCTGTAGTCGCAGGGGAACTTCAGAGGAGCATGAAGCTAGCCGACGTGTGAAGGCAGAGCTGCTAGTTCAGATGGATGGTAAATAACCTAATTGCTGGGAAGTACTGGACTGGAGGAAAAACAGTCAATCAAAACTTTATTCCTCAGAAGCGATTTCTTTGAAAGCCTTACATAAAATCGGGGTAAAAAGATGAAGCTGCGCTGTTGCAGCTGTCAGTGTGGAAGGAAAAAATTATACCAGTTATTTAACAATCTTTCAGCATTTGAGCAACAACCTTATATTACTGACCCAGGATAGCAAAGATTTCAAAACTACAGAAGAAAAAAAGTATTAACTGGTCCTCTCAGTCTTTACATAGCATGTCACTTCTCCAAAACCAAGGAGAAGGTGGCTCAAAAGACCTGTCATGTGTTCCAATTTAGACTTCAAAGCAATCATTGCACTTAGCTTATTTTGGATCCCCCTTTTTTTTTCTTTTTTTTTTCCCACTTAAATATATAAATAAAAAGGCAGTTTTTTATAGAAGTGGTTGGGAATGTTTTCTTTTAAAAACACAGATTATTACAGCTATTTGGTTAATGTTTCACAAATCAACGAAGTTTAAAAGTAGGTAACACTGCAGTTTCTATTGAGGCATCCTCTTTATACTCTGCTGAGCAAGGAGAAAGGAGGAGGGCAGCTGAAAAGTGCTAGTCTATGGAGTAATTTGTGGTACAATTACATGAGTCAGAAGATTTGTATATTTGGTTCTCTGTTGCTGATACCCTTTTATGTTTGACTTTAAATAGCAGCAGATCTGTAATACTCTTCTCATAGCTCAAGTATGTACATAACCTAATTTTATTAGTAACAGCTATTAGAAGTCCTTTTGCTTGAGCACTCATAAATGATGTTTTGTATGCAGATTTTCAGGCAGACTAGGATATTCCAGAGCTTAGTCCTATAAGCGAAAACAGTAAATGCAGAGAGTAGCAGGTTTAATGAAACTAACTTCTGTATATAGCAGCAGTTTCACAGTACTTTCAATGCAGAGGTGTTCTCTCTGAGAAGCTGTTACTCAGTCCACCAAATAAGCATTCACTTCAGCAGTTGGTAAGAATCCACCTGTGTATGTGAAGTGTTTGGCCTAAAATTAGAAGTGAAAAAATTTTGTAGGGTAGTAATGCTGCTTTTGTGTGGCTGTTACTGAATGCTGTGGGGGGAAGCATCTGTTTTCTTGGTGTGGCAATGGGTTTGGGGGAGTTACTTTGTCTTTTCTCACATGCTGTTACCGGACGTTGATGTGAAAATTCAAATACTGTAATGTCAGAAATCCAACCAGCTCTGCTATAAAACTGTTCCTGCCATGATAGGGAGGACCTTGCTGATCTGAGTGGTGGCCTATGCCACTGGTCCTAATTAAACAAAGTTTCCATTTTTTCTTGCAGGCTGTCATACAGGTGAAAAACTGAACTCTTGCCCTTAGTGATTCTGTTGTGCTTAGACTCACTAAAGGGCATTATGGTAGCTGCTTTAATATTACAGAATTGTGGATATTGTTATCTCTACATGAAACACCATGAAACATGTACATTTTGCTTTCTTTTTTCTCCAATCCAGGTGTTGGAGGGGCTGCTGAAAACGATGATCCTTCCAAAATGGTCATGGTACTTGCTGCTACTAATTTTCCTTGGGATATTGATGAAGCCCTAAGACGGAGACTAGAAAAGAGAATTTATATTCCTTTACCATCCGGTAGGAAGACTTGGGGAGAGGAGTGGTTGGAAAGACTAAAACCTAAACTTCAGCAATATTCCTTTAAATTTGATCACCTGGTTTAAAGATTTTATACATGTATGAAATTAATTTGTTAATTCAGAACAAGTTTAAGTCTAAACATTGAACATTTGCCTTTGTAGCAAGTACAGTGTTTTTGTTTTCATTCTCCCTCTTATCATTTTGCAGTTCATTATTTATCTTCACAAAGCAAATCATACAGACTAAATTTTTTGTTCTTTGATTAGCAAAAGGTAGAGAGGAACTCCTAAGAATAAATCTACAAGAGCTGGAATTGGCTGATGACGTTGACCTTGCAAATATAGCTGAGAAAATGGAGGGTTACTCGGGTGCAGACATTACCAACGTATGCAGGTATGTTAACATTGCATCATTTGTGTTACTACTGCTACAAGCTCTCTTAAGAAAACTGTTTGTAAAGTAATTTACATGATTAAAATGATTGGATTAAAAACAGACTGTAACTTTTCTTCTATGTATGTCTAAAAGGTAAAATACTACATTAATTAATTAGATTTCTGTTTGATATTTTCCTGTAATAATGATGGAGAGCAGTTGCAACGTGGGAGTCTAAACAAACTATGATTTAGGTAAAATTCCATGTTCTTTCATGTACACCAAATTCCTTGCATGAGGAACATGCACAGAATGGTAGACTTTAAGTTTTGCAGAGTTGCAGTCATTCTGCTGAGGTTACACTAGTTCAACAGAACATCCATGTGTAAGAGGCAATAGTGGCAGAGGCAACGATAACTAAAGTAAAACATGGAGTGTTCTTCCTTCATGACTCAAAAAAGGCACACTGCGTTGTGTGACAGTATGAGCTGTGTACTCGCATGCTGGCTTTAGTGATGAGTGGTTTAAGTTTTCTTCTGCTCCTTCCCCTCAGTTGTGTTTGCATGCAGTCACCTGTGGGCCTATTCTATAGCCTAAATTACTGAAAATACTTTCTAACCCTTCCCCCAGTCTTTGCTTTCAAAAATTGAAAGCGGAAGGAAAGGACTGATCTCCTGAGAGACTTAGTATCAGTCATTTGATTTATATCTGAAGATTTGCACTGGCACAGTTGGAGCAATGGCGAATTATGGAAACAGCAGTAATTCACAAAGAACTGAAACTTCTTAAGATGCTGTTGTCATCTAATAAGCACCTGTGTAACTGTACTTTCAGGCTTTTTGGGCAGCACTGAAATGTGGCAGTGCAAGGCTTGAGCTCTTAGTTGTGCTAGTGCCAACTGTTGTGGGGCTGTACTTTGAACAGGATAAGAGAAATGTTCTGTATTAAAACCACCTCCTCATTGCTTTCCTGAAACACAGATCCATTTCTTGCCTTGACTCCTAATACAGCTCTGCAAACACTTGTCAGGACAGCTGAAAGGACAATATGCAGGGATGAATGCGAGTAGCCTGCATGCAAAACTGCCACCAAAGGCTCTATCAGCAGGGTCGCTTCAGGCTGAACTAAGAGTTTGGAGCCTCAGTACTATTTCCTCGACAAACCTTACACAGTGTCTGGGAAAAGAACGGTATGTTAGTTGTTCTGAACCAGTGTTGGGCAGATTTGTTTCATTTGTAGGTCTGTGAGATGAATTTGTGGTGGTTATTTTGCTTGGTCTTGCTGTTGGTTGTCCTTTGAAAGCAGTTTGTGCTAATAGGCTCATGTTATGTGAAAGAGAATTTGTTTGGCCTACTGTTCAGTAAATTTTAGCTGCAGTTTGTGTCCTCTGGTCTGTTCAGTGTTTGGTTTTTGTCATTCATTTCATACTGGATAGCAATACAGTTGTTTAAAAGTCATCATACTTGTAACGTTTTTCAGTGAATTTCATGTATGTATATATTTATACACACTGTTGCTTTATTATTTTTTTTTAATCAGAACTTAAAAACCCAACCAAACAAACACCCCCCCCCCCCCCAACAACAAAACAAAAGCAATCAAACACAAAGAAACCCACAAAGAAATAATTTGAGTCTTTCATTTGTGGCAGTCTCCTTAGAGATGACTGACATGGCAGCAACCAGAAATCCGGACAAACTGTGGTTTGGAGGTGCATGAATTGATATTAGTAAGAAAGTGCTTCTATTAGCCTGTTAACTGTGTCAGGAAGACAGATGTTGGACATAATTGTCTCATTTACATTGAGACAAAAAGACATATGGCTTATTTAAAAGTGATTTTGTGTAGTTGAGACTCGCAGTATATAAGCAAAGTTCAAACTTGTAGGCTAGTGTCCTCACTCATGACAGGAGCAGAACTTAAGAAAGAATGAACTAAGAACTCTGTTTTTCTCAAATTATTCTCCTACCTTCAAGAACTGGAGGTGAAATCCAAAGTTTTCTGAGCTGGAGTGAAAACCAGTCAGAGATAACAGTGCAGTTTTGAACAGTCAGTATGTAACCATGGAAAATGTAGGTGAAACTTTAATATTATAAGACATTCAGGAAATCTCTAAATTGCATAGTAGATGTGATTATGAACTTGTCTTGGATTGTTGTTTTGAGTGTACTGTGAAGGTTGAAGGCCTTAGGGATGCTCCCTACAGGTATAACACTGGCTCTTTGTTCACAAATAATAACAGCAAATCATGGTACTACTAGACTGAGATGGAGTTTAACAAGGCAACTTTTTGGGGTTGTTCTGAAATTCTCGTTATTGTAGTATGCATTCTAATTGCTGACAATTATTTAGTAAACAAACCTCCCCTATGAAGACATGCCGAGAGATTTGGGGTGGTTCAGCATGGAGAAGGCTCTAAGAAGATCTTAGTGCAGCCTTCCAGTACCTAAAGGGGAGCTGCAAGAAAACTGGAGAGGGACTTTTTACAGGAGCATGTAGTGACAGGACAAGGGGCAATAGCTTTAATCTGATGGAGGGGAGATTGACATCAGATATTGGGAAGAGGTCCTTTACTATGAGGCTTGTGAGACACTGGCAGAGGTTGCCCAGAGCAACTGTGGCTGCCACATCCCTGGCAGTGTCCAAGGCCAGGTTGAATGGGGCTTTGAGCAAACCGGTCTAGCGGAAGATGTTCCTGCCCATGGCAGGGGGTTGAAACTAGAGGATCTTTAAGGTCCCTTCCAACCCTAACCATTTCATGATTCTGTGAAATTCATGAAGTCTGTCAGTTATGGTTTCCTTTAGGAGGAAGGGGTGAAGCTGGAACAGAATATGCTGAAACCATCATTCTTAATCCTCCTAGAAGACAATGCATAAGTTTTCTCTCTTTGGCTTCTCACTCACTAATACAATATGATACGCTATTGTGATATCTCCAGGATTACCCTTGCATCTTTTTTACCTAAAATAAGTAGCATTTTCTTCTTATTATAAGCTATATAACAATGAATTAGCAGGAGCTTTAGTCTTCTAGTGTTAGGTATTAATTACTTCAGCAGCTCATCAGCTGCTGCTGTGGATGTTACTGTTGGAAATCCAAATGCCGTCAAACTTAATGCATCAACAAAATGACACTTGTAAAGCCACTTGATGCTTATAGAGGCTAGAAGTTTGAGGAGCTACAGACTGAACAGACTATGTAGTTTAACATTTAGCTGTGAACCTACAGGTTGGAGGAAGATACTGTTGACCCCTTTTTCTTTCAAGTGGGATTCCTATTTGGACCAGGAAATGTTTAAAACATTCCAGTTACTCCTCCTATACATAGGAGGAGTGAAAGTATTTGTCTTCTTCCTGTCTGAAGATACTGTAAACAGCAGCTACGTCATAGACATGCAGTGGCATTAGATAAACCAGTTAGTCCTCTCCTGTGAATAGTCGCTGTTCAGAGATCCAGTGAGGATAAATCCATGATTGAAAAATACTGATAGCATGGTATTGTAGGTTGTACAAGCACTCAAAGATCCTGTAAAAGTTTGCAGTTCTTTACCTATTTGAAAGCAACAGTTTGACTGGAATGCTGTGCTGAGCCTCTCAAACAGCTGAGCCACCATCCTGTATGGAGTAACTTTTTTTTCTTGCATCCTTACTAGAGATGCATCCCTGATGGCTATGAGAAGGCGCATTGAAGGCTTGACACCAGAAGAAATAAGAAATCTGTCCCGAGATGATATGCACATGCCGACAACTATGGAAGACTTTGAAATAGCTTTGAAGAAGGTTTCTAAATCTGTATCTGCTGCGGACATTGAGAAATATGAGAAATGGATAGTTGAATTTGGATCATGCTGAGTTGTCTTATCTTGAAGAAGCCAGTTTACGTCTTAAAACAGCTTTAGAAGTAATAAATAGTGTGTTGGTGCACTGCCTGCTCTTTTTAACTTTTGTAATTTAAGAGCAACAGATGTCTAAATAAATTTTTTTTTTTAATGCAAATTCTGTCTGGCTCTCTTTGAACGAGATCCAAAGTTACCCGTTGCTCTCAAATGCACAAGATACTGATGGGATCTGCTTTGATCTTCAGGAGTTTTAAATTCCTTAAATTTAATACTAGAACTCTTGCATCAGAGGGTTTATTCTTGAAAAACAGCCATTACACCAAGAAAAAACAAACTAGCCCTGCTAAATGAGTAAGGGATGCTGAGAACTGGAAAGGGGGATGAGCAAGATGCAGTCATATAGATGGTTTTGCTAGCTGATCTTGGAGAATTCTACCCTGTCTGTAAGATACTAATAAAGAACCCATCCAAAGCTGAGATTTAGAACAGCAACCCATGCACTACTAACAGTGAGTCGATTCAACTGAAGTTTAAGCTAGGGGGTAGGATCATCACCGGTTTACAGTATCTATTAACTAATACTACAGTACATCCAGCCAGGGTAAACAAATCCCATGATGCCAGGTCACAGGTGTAGTCTCCTGGTAAGTCTGAAGGAAAACAAAAATTTTCTGGTACTAATTCTGAAATACGCTTTTCTTTCTCGGTTGTGTGGTACTGTAAGTTTCAGAACTCCAGACTGGTCAGATGAGTCCTGATTTACACTACACAGTCACTTCGGTAAGGTTGTTCTGATAAGGCAGCCTGTGTGTTGGGTTTGTGCTCAGTTGGTGTCTGTTCACAGTCCTGATTTCACAATTGATGCACGGTCTAAATTCCCTTCTTACATTACTTGGCAAGTGGAATGTAGGAGCTGTTCTCTGGTTCTTTGGTTACCATTTAGGTCATCATTTTAGATTTTGCTCTACAGTGGTCATTGTAACTAACCCACCTATGGTTTCTGCCATCTTTTATTTTGGAAGTGCTTCTTCCTGCTAGCTCATCTCGGACCAGCTGGCTCTAGTTCTGCTTATAGCTGAATTTCAAGCTGTTTCATGAATCAAATGTGTCAAGACTTGTTTCAGCTGGTAGAGAAGAGCTGTACAAAACTGGCTGTGGAATTCCTGCTCCTGTGTCTTTTCGGGTGATGCAAGGCAAATGGAAAGGACAGATGATAATGAAAAGTTGCAGCCTGAGCAGAAGGCAAATGCATCCCAAGTGCACAGTTGTGTAAATGTTATTGTCAACATTATGTTGCTGTACTTAAAATTCAGGTACTTAAAATCCATCACTGTCTTGCAAATGATAGCTGGACACTCTGAGAAGGGGCTTTGTGCAGTTCTTGTGATGAGATGCTCTGGCAAGACACTGCAAGGCAGATGTTGTTGGGAGCTCCTGCTAAATCCATGTGTGGACCAGCTGTGATGAACCCAGAAATGCAGATGAGTCTACACGTGGGTGCATTTACAGACTGCCACCACCAGTATGGAAAACAAATTTACCTCTTCCTTTCCAAAGGGATAGCCTTATGTGTCAGAGTAAACAGATGCAGTATTTTGAAGAAGTGGGTTTTCTTAATAGTTTCTCTTCTGTGTTAAGATCAGCGTATAGCTGTCAGCTGTATTGTGGGAAAAGATTTCTTCTCCTAAATCAATTCAGTGCAAGGAAACCAAAATACTCCATCTGTCATCAGAGTAAGAAGGTAAAGTAGGTAAGCTTTAGTCCTTGGAAGCAGTCCAGTAAGGGGCCACTTGGACTGAAAGCATGATACATTTTGAGAGCTTCTAAAGTAAACCTCATTTTAAAAGGAAACTTTAGTCCTCAACCAGCCCCGTTCGCTCTAAATGAACAACTGCATAATATGTGGTGGTGGTGGGGAAAGCTGGAGATGCTGAATTCGTAGCTCAGAGATTCATCTTGCTTTGAAACACAGACCATCATGATGCCAACACCTTCCAGGGGAGTTCCTGTATGGAGGGAAGGGCCAGTGCTGCATTATACCATGTGTTTAAAAGGTAAGAGACATTGTGAAAATTAGGCAGAACTAGAAGGGCTGTAACGAGAGCTACTATTCATGGGGAGATAAGAGGTGTTGCCTTTCCTAAAAGCCTGCTGCCACCCTAACAGAGTTGGGTTTTTTGGGTAGTTGTTAGGTTTTGGGGGTAGGGAGAGTCACTTGTCATGTGTGTTATATCTCCCCCTCCTCCTTTTCCCTAGCTGGTACCTTGGATCCTTGTCAGCTCCTGTGCTGGGAAAGCAAGACCTACTGTGACTGTCATGCAGCACAATTGTCCTTTCTTAACTCTTACAGTAAGAAGCCTTTAAACTGGCTCATTACAAAATGGCTCAGTGTGGTCCCAGCTCCAAGCCACACTCCTGAAAGGCATGAGGTTTGCATGACTCAGGAAAACCACGTGCATGCTACAGCAGAAGACTAGTGCTGTAAGACTTGGTAGCTCCAGCTCCATAGCATAGCAGTGCACTGTTATACCATAGCAGCATTGTCTGGCAATTATTGTGTTAAATATTTGCACTGGTCTTTAATTTTGTTAACCCTGATGGTCGCATTTCTTTCCTCATGCTCTGTGGAACACCATACAGAAGAAAAGGATGACTTAGCTTATGGAAGTCAGCCAAGTTGTGAAGCACTACCAGCACTTTTTCAGGCTTAACCACTCATTTATGTTGCAGCTGTTTAGCATAGAGTGAAATCTCCTTGTTGCTGTGCAGGTGCTTGGTTTACAGTTTCGTAAGTAGGGATGCAAAGAACAGTCTGCAACAGCTGCTGCATTCTGATCTGCAGTTCAGTTCACACTGTGCTTGTGCTGTAAGGAAGAACTGTTGTATTTTGTGTCCACCCTGGTTCCCTCCTCCCCCAATAAGCTAAACTTCAGCCTTATACATTGCTTCTATTTTGAACTTTGAAGGGCCCAAGGCTATGTGCATTATGTGGAAAGAACATTAATTTCCACATAATGGAGGACTTTGCAACTGTTTGAAGACTACTCTTGTCTGTGCAGTCACCATGCCTCTGCTAATCTTGGCTGTTTCCTTTTTAGCCATGGATGACAACAGCCCCTCTGTCATGTATGTTCTTTAACTGAACTGCGTTCTTTATTCAGGTGCCTCTGTAGCTCTGCCATCATCTGTCTTGTGTGGTTGCTTTACCATGATGGTAGGTAGCTCTCTGGTGATAAGTCCTGGAAAGCCCTGCCTGGGGCTCTGGGGATGCTGGCCATTGCTACTCATGCCAGATCAGCAGAGCAGCTGCCCTGCTCCGGAGTTTTATGGCTCCAAAGCACTCAGCCAGTTATGACACATCCCCCACTTTTATTGTCATCACTCAGCTAAACCTGGCAGATGTTGGGGATTCTGCACTCCCCAGCCTCATTGATCTTGAGGAAGTAAATGTAAATGGTGCGACATCAAACAACAGATGTATTTTTTTAGGAAAGGAAGTTTGAGCAGTGTCCCTGTTACCTCAGGCTGACATATACCACGCTGCACTGCTGGGTGGTTGGGGTTTGGTTTGGTTGGTAGCAAGGTCAGTTGGCATGAGAAATGTTTCTTCTATCCCAGCAGTGCTGTCAGTTTAGTGAGACAATTCAAGTTGTTCCTGTCGCACACCAGCTGTAAGGACAAATAACTAACTTGGAGAATTCATTACACATTGGATAACCTTTCATTAAAGGGGGAGATGTGTGTGTGTAATCCTAGCTTTTCTCCCTCAGTGTAACAGCTTTAGCTAAAAATGGATCATTTCAATCACTCAAATGATAACTCTACTCAGTCTTACACCGGGTAGTTAATGTTCTTTTCTCTGCCCTAGTCATTTGACAAAGTGTCTTGTAAGCAAGAATCATCATCATCATCATGGCTTGACTTCGCGAACGAAGATTTAGGAAGGGCATTTACCCACGCTTACTACAAGCGCGCTGATGACTAAGAAGGCCAATGTGGGATAGGCAAATCCGGCTACAAAAAGCACAGCAGAAGGTCTCCTTGGGTGGAACAGGTGGGACACGATTCTTCCTGCGTTGTCTTTTCTCCTCGAGACTAGTTCTTCGTGAGCTCTCAAAGGAGTCGGCGGCATTACGTATGGTGTGCCTCCAAGTCTCCCGATTGGAGGCCAAGGTGGACCACTGATGGTAGTCAGTATGGCCAAGGCTAAGGTATTGTTTCAGGGAGTCCTTGTATCTCTTCTTTGGGGCACCTCTCTTGCGGCTACCGGTGGCAAGTTCACCGTAAAACACGATCTTGGGGAGGCGGTGATCCTTCATTCTAGAGACGTGCCCTGCCCAGCGCAGCTGCAATTTCAGCAATGTGGCCTCGATGCTGGTGACCCCTGCCTGTTCGAGGACAGTGACATTAGACACATAGTCAGTCCAATGGATGTTTAGAATTGTACGGAGGCAGCGCTGATGTAAGCAAGAATAACGAAAAGTTAAAAACCAAATAGTGCCCACATCTAATGCATGTGGCAAACCACTGGGCTGCATAGATAAACAGAGCTGCACACATGAACACAGTCTGATAAACAATTTGTTTATTTGAAAAATGATAGCAGTACAAATGGGCAGGGGCAGACTGGGCCTACGCAGCAGAGGTAAGCCAGTACTGTTATAGGAGCTTGTAGTACTTCGTTTTCTCTCTTGAGACTTCACAAAGTACTGCTGTCACAGGTACAAAAAGGACATTCTTCACAAGTGCCAACAGTTTCTGTAAGTGGAAGGGGCCACAAAAGTGTAAAGTGCTTAAACCTACCTTTAAAATTTGGTTTGCATATTTAAAGCGTAAAATTACTTAAGTAACACAAGGGGTTTGTAGTGATATTTTCCTTGCAAGGCACACTCAACCCTAAGAGACTCGACACCAGGTTGGGCAGCTTTGTTTAGGCTTGCAGGCACAGCTGATGTTTGCGATACTCCTTCGTCCTTTTCTGAGGAATGCTGTTGGGAGACTTCAGGACACCCTGAATTACACCACCTCGATACTCAGGATAGCTGCCCTGGTTTATCAATGGGCATGAAGGCAGCCAGCGTCCTGTCAGAGGTGAAGAAAAGTGACTTCACAGAAGTTAAAACCAATGGTAGCCCTCAGGGTGCAAAGCTGCTTTATTTTGAAGCTTCTGAAAAAGCTGTGTTTTAGCGGAGAGGCACAAGGAAGTCAGCTATGGGCCTCAGCCTGAGTGTCCCTTTGCCAATTTATCAACTGACTGAGTTTTCTTAGTAGGAAACAAACATGGTATTAAGATCAAGTGCCAAATTTCAGGTCAACTAAAAATATGCTTTTAAAAAACAGTAACTCCAAAGCAAACACAGCATTAAGTACATGTTTTCTCATCTAAATTATTTTTCCTGTCTGGAAGATCTGAAGGCAAGCTGATGGTAATCACTGGTACAAAGCTGACTTGATCCAGGAGAAGGGTGCCTCTGAAAGGTAAGATTACCTGGCATTAGAAAACAATCTACGAAACAATTCTGCATTCTGAAAATTAGGTTTATTCTTGAGCTTATCAACGTACTTTAAATCAGTTCATCAATTATTACCCGCATGATACTTCTTTTATAAAGTAGAATAAAAACTTGATACAAAACCAGCTCCAAAATGAACTACCTGTGGTTTCAGTGGGGTCCCTTCACCCAGTTTCCACATGTGAAATACCAGCAGTGTGGGCTCCATAAGCTCAACTTCACAGCAGCCTCATAGCTGTCTGATGTCAAAAGCTACTTCGTCAGGCTCTTGCAGCTAATTTTCTAGCTAAAGCTTCCAGTTTTATCAGTGCACTGTAGAATGGCATCACAGACTTGGGACGAGGTCCTTATACACATCTGCAACTGTGTCATTCACCAAGTGAGACCTACTCATTCTTACTGGGTTACAGTCATGAATTAAACCGCTACCACATTTTACAGGACCACTTCATAGAGGCAGCAAGAAAATGAGCATGTGGTTTTGGGTGGGGTTGGTTCATTGTTTTGTTTGTCTGTTTGGGTTTTTAGCAAGGACACACCATCTTTCCAGTGTAACAGGATCCTGAAATGCTCTGACAAGCCATGCACAAGCCCCATGTTCCAACTGGGAATTACTGCAGGCCGCTTCCTCTGCTCTGTACTCACCTCTGCCGTGGACACTTTGCTGAACTGTTTATGTGGATTAGATTTTATTTTTTCTCCTAATTCTACTTAGTTCAAAGTTTCACACATGGCAGTCTTAAGCTACTTACTGCTGGGGGGTACAAAGTGTTTCTTGACTCTTCCTGCCCTCACAAGTTAGAAGAAATACTTGAAGCCAACAGCATGCTTTGTGAAGTGTTGGGGGAAGCACGGTCTCTTCTGTCACTGCAGTTTCTAACTTTCCTGATCTTCCAGCTCCCCATTTTTCTAGCTCTGTCAGATGGACTAAGGCCACTCCTATCCCTGGGGTGATACATAAATTAACTGTGCTCAGAGCCATTCAGAAGCACAGCTGGTCAGCTGCATTCAAAGACATCAGCTGTGCTTGTGGGGCCTGAAAAGAATATAGGGTTCCAAGGGTTAGGTCTTCCAGAATTGACTTGGTTTGCCTTAAAATATACACACTTGCCCATTCCAGCAGTAAATCTATACTGATTTCCTATCTGCAGTTACTAATGCATCTTTCCACCCCTTGTTTGGAGAGTTTCCTTCTCTGAAAAATATCCCTATTGCTGGTAACACACCAACTGAGTGAATAAAGCCATCTGCAGTCAATAAGCTTTACTCAGGACCATTTGCCACCAATTGAAACGGCTTGTAAGCTGCCTGCATAGGTAGCTCCTCCTTGGAGAATTCCCATACAAATTCACAAAGTCAATTTTAAGGCCTTCCATAACAATTATAACAAGTCCAACACAGTGGGAATATGAAAAGATGTAGAGCTGTTGGAATTGTTTAGCTCCAGCTTCTCCCCTCCTCTCCCAGCAACATGATTCTATGTTAATGGTGTCTCACAACATAGTCCTTAGAAGAGTTGATGAAAATCTGACAGTCTGACAGCCAAGCTGAAGACATTTCCAATGAAAGATTTTCCCATATTCCTCTGAAAGACCTGTGTGTCAACAGGGCACTTGGAATGGGAAGTTACCAGCAGCCTTTTCACTGAATTGTTGACACCTTCTTCATATAGAACAGGGCTGCTGCTTTACAGATTTTTATTTTTTTAGTTAGTGTTTTGCCTTCATCAGAGAAGCAAACAGCAAAAATGACTTACTTGTTTTCACAGGAAGGGAGGATCACCTTTAGAACTTTGAGAATAAGAGCTGCTCCAACAACTCCAACTACAATGACTTCCATCAAACTGAAGAAGATGGGTAAAGATCGCAACCAGAATCTGCACAACACTGTCCTCAAATCTTCCACCCATTGGCACATCACCTACAACCAAACAGGTAAAAATAAAAAGACAGGTTGCAAAACACAGCAAGTGTGGGTTTCGTAGATACTGGTGAATTGCAATGTGTGGTGATAGTTTTACTGGAATTTATGTATGCTTAAACATACATATAAGCAGGATGAAACTGACTGGTGACTCACAGCTCTTCTATGAGGTTTGGAAGAGGCAAAGGTTTAACTCTCTGCTCATCCTAGCAGAGTTCTCTGAGAGGAAAGGCCACTTTAGAAAATAAAGAACACCTGAATGGAGCAGGTGAAGGGTGAGCAATATGGATAAGCTGTGATACCATGGCAACGTAAAGAAGGGAGAGCATTACTGGCATCCTGGGAGAGGGATAGCACCTTCTCTAGCCTATCTGTAACTTTCAGCCTACTGTTCTGGCCCTCATGTCTCAGCAGCAGGTTATAAAGTGTTTTCTTTCAGCCACAGAGAAGGCCATGATGCCTCTCCTTACCTCATCTGGAACTGAAACTTCCCAATCTGTTCCTGTGTTTCTTACAATGGGACAGAGCAATGGCCCATCTCCCAGAAGGGTAAAACTGACTTAAAGCTAAATGATATTTGGAATTGTGTAAGTGCTTTGCTTGGTATAAATATAGCAACTCTCATGTCACGAATAGCTCTGAGGTCAGAACACTGCAGGATTCTGACGTAGAAACATCCAATCCCTCCCTGCTAAGGGTCAATTTAGGAAGTGTTTTGTTTGTTGATTTCTCAGTTTTGTTTTGGGGGATTTTGTTGTTTTTTTTTGAAGTTTACTAGAGTGTCTGTAAAAGCCTGTTCTTTTTCGTGGCTGGCTGTGGGGATTTCTTAAGTGTTCTGTGGAAGTCAGTTACTGCCATGTACTTCACACAATAGAAAATTCTGGTCTTTAATAAATATAAAGCAGTAAAACAGTACTCTGAGAGTCAGATACCAGGTTAAACAGGAATGGCAATTCCAGAAGTGAGCTATTACATATTATGCTGGGATTTGGGTTGTTGTTTGGTTTGGGTTCTTTTTTTCCAAATTAAAAATAAAGGACCAAAGACAAAGGCCTAGGAATGTTATACACCTTCTTAACATCTTCAAATGGATGTTGTATTTGGTCTTCCCATGAGGAAGATCCACTATCTAAATCCTAACAATGCTGGGTTTGTTTATTTTGTTCTGTAAACATCCACAAAGGAGGAAAACATAATATTTGTATATGGTGCTGTAGAGAAAATTGAAAATGGGGAAGTTCATTCCCTCAAACTGTAATACTGGATAACATTCAGCTTTATCTGCAGCGTGTTACTACAACTTTTCCTCCTAGAAATGTCACCAAGCTGTATGTATTTCATCCCTTGGGAAACAAGAAAAAAAACTGAGGGAGGGAGGGAGGGGAAAAAACCCTGGGTTTCCTTTTTAAACCATTCTTTAAAGGTTTATACTAATAATTCAAACAAACAAAACTACCTTGTAAGAAGAGGGAGGTTCTATCCTAAGAGGGGTCTCTGGTAACTTGCCAGGTAATGCCTCTTCATCTACTGTGGTTTCCACTTGCTGGATGAGATACTGACTGGTAGTTTGCAGTGGATCTTGAGTATCTGGAGAAGAAAAGCTAGAGTTCAGTGGGGGGCTTGTTTTCTATTTGACTCACTGTTCAGGAAGACAAAGACATGCTGCATTTCTGTACTTACACTACATTTCTCACACATTTACAGCAAGAACACAGAAGGCTGACTTTTTTTGTTTACTTGAGTAGTGAACTTGCTAAGCAGCAGTGTTAGAGTGCAGCCTTAGCTGTGCCCTTAAATTCAGCTTAAATTTCAGCTGCCACCAGATTAAAAAGTGAAGAACTAGATAAAAATATTTCATCTCCTGTAAGATCCCTGAGAGCTTTTAATTAAATAGAACCAAAATAAGATGAAGGCACCAAATAACTACTCTTGCTTTTAAGATACTCAAGTTTAATAACATAAAATTATCTCTGGTTTTAAAGTGACCCAGACAGGTATTTCTTCTCCAGTTTTTTCTTTCATTCTCAGGAAAATGGGGGAGCTTTAGAGAAACTTCGATCATAGCTCTGAGAGAGAAATTTATTCCTGTGAGATATCTGGGTTGCAGACTGATAAGTACCAAGTGCTTCAAAGGAAAACGGATTTGAAAACAAACAAACAAAATACCTAAATGTAGAAGAGGTGAATTTAGATGCTTAACAAAAACAAACTCAAACTATATTAAAGAAAACATTTCCATGCCAATGAAGAAACTATTCCACTATGTAAAACACAGGAATAATGATGTTTTGCCATTGTAAAGGAATACATCAACCATGGATAAAAAAAATCTTATGTAACAGCTAAAAGAGATACCTTTTCCTGAGAGGCTGGGAAGTGTAAATAACATGTCGTTGTCCCTGGGGATGGAATACAACATGCTCTCTTTCAAAGGGACAGTGTAGTTTGAATGTCTAAGTACTCTCAGGTCCTTTACTAAAATATCTATTTCCGTTACTTCTTCCTGCTGAACCTACAAAAGATGCAAATGTGTCAGTATTGCTGAGTTTAAAGTAAGAGTGAAGTAGGCTGGCAAAGAAAACCAATGCATCACATAAAACTCCAGGCCATTAAGATTTAGACACAGGGATGTTAAAAACAAAAAAATGCAAAAGCATGAGGTAGTTGCTCCCTGGGCTTTTACCCAAGTCTTACATAGCCTTTTATGATCCTCTTTCAGGGAGGCATTTTAGGGCATGGAAAACTCAAGTAGGTAGTAAAAGAGCACTTGCAAACATTGAAGTGTTGCTGAAGCAAGTCTGACAATTCTGCTTTTGTAGTAGTGTTGCTTTTTTCCAACATCCAAAAGAGTTTTCCTCCTTTTCCAGTGATGCACTGGACCCATTTCACTTAATCTCTGCAAGCATCACTTAATACAGAACACATTCAGCATAACTCACTACATTTAATAACTGCATGAGGCCAAGAACTGACAGAAATCCAGAGTGTTTATGATCATAATTGTAACTGCTACACAGAAATGTAACTAACACAAAAGGAATGGAGCATGTGAGTTTCACTCATGCTTTCAGAACAGTAGGCCAACCAACGATCTCCTTTGCTTCAAACACACAGAGACCAATGTGAAGAAGCAGATGATCATTACTGTCAGCTGAAAACTAATGAGAAGGATGGAAAACTTTTGATTTAAACAATTAAGGAAACCATATTAGCTTTTGGGTTGTTCTTGGCAGGTCCCTACGAAAGTAGGAAATGCACTGTGATGCCTAGTTTTAGATCTGCCTCTAATTTGAGATTGTGTAAATACTGAATCAAATCAAGGATAAATTAGCCTCCTAGAAGTGGAATAAACACTTCATTAGAAAATCTTCAAACCTCTCAGTGGGATCTTTCATTAACAGAGTACAAATTTGATGTGATGCAGATCCCTGTAAAAAACAGGACATGCTCAGCATGCAATTTATGAAGGACCAGTGGTATTATCATAATTCTCCTGTTACAAAAAAAGGCAACAGAACATAAGCCAGCTTCTAAAGAGCCTGGCCACATGCAAGATGCAGACATATACTGAACCAAAAACACAACATTTTTGCTGGCTTCAGCAGTTGTCTCTTCAGAATGTCTCTGGTTGGAAAAATAAGTATACTTTATTGGTGATTTTGAGAAGTCAGTTCTGCACATTGCAGTCTCGGCTAGAACCGTAACCCCTCCCATTCACTGGTATTTGTGCAAACACTGTCAGAATGTAGGAGTTTTTTCCCTGTTAATATCAAAATCCACTTCATTATTTTTACCCAAATGAATTAATTATCTTACATGCAGAATATCCCAGGGCTAAGCTCTGATATTGTGGGCTTTCACAACAAGCCCATCTGCCATAAGAGTTTGCTGCTATAAGCTGTTCCCCATGCTACATGCCTGAAACCCTTTACTAGCTTGGGATAAACAACGGGGAAAACCTCAGGACTAATAACAATCCCATGCCCCTTTTATTTATTTTGTACATTATTTCTAAATGAAGTATTGCTTGTGAGTCTGACTTTGCATATGTGCACGTTTCAAAAGAGCATGTGACACAGTGATGTTCTAACACTTATTACATTATAAATAAACTATTAAATACAAATAGAAGCATTAAAACTTGACTCCTCATGACTCACCTTTGCTACTACATGAGTAACTTAGGTTGGTACCTCCCTCACTACCATGCTAGCCAGCATTAGCTTATGTATTTTGTGCTCTAATCACCAACCAGGCACATGTAAACCTTTGAATCCTTGGTAACTACTTGCCTCTCATAAATTAAAAACAAGCAGAATGTTGGGGGTTTTTTTTACCTCTTTTCCATCAATTTCTGTCACTTCTTCCTGAATGACAATCAGCTGCAAATCAGAACTGGATGCCAAAGGCCACTTGTGAACCATAATCCGAACACTGACGGTTCCCAGGTGCTGCTGATCTGGTAAGTTATCCAAGTTTCTGTTCTCCACTATTAACACACAATGTCACAGTTTTCAAAGAGAAACCATCCCAACCAGAAAGCAGTACACAACCAAGGGGCAAACAGTTGCAACTCTGACCTAGATGCAAAGGCACATGTAGCATTTGAATGAAAAAGTCATTACAAGTACAGAGGACCAGTAGCACTCAATCAGAGATGCTTGAATAGTTGTACAGAAGTCTGTACTATACTGATGTCCTTAACACTTCCAATAATCTGCTGTTATAAGCTGTAGTAGTCTGGGCAACAGGTAAAACAGATGCCATGATTTTTTACCAAATCAAACTTGGAGCAGGTCTCATGATACAACACAGCAGGCAACAGCAGCACTGTATGATCCCCAGACTGAGGAAGCTTGCACACAACATCGCATCCCTGCCTTTGAGGTTTGCATTTAAGCACTCTAAGCACCATTCTTTGGCTTTGCTGTTGATGCATTCCTATTGTCCAAACAAGTTCGTAAGAGTAATGCCACAGCCCAGTCAGCCACCTGTGTAAACATCTTGATTTGCAAAACATTCCCCTTCCTCTCAATACAGAAACAAAGATGCTCTTTTCCACACACACCTAATATACTACTCAAGGGAAGTTCCCTCATACATGTTTTTTCTATGCCCCCCCATTTTCATATGTAGCTGATGACACCTCAAGCTCTCTTCCTAACCAAAACCTTACAGCTATTTCAACAACCCAATATTCCACAAGTATGAGAACTGCCTTTTCAACCCTTGCTGTTTCTGCATAGACTTGTTACCCTTCTACCAGCTGCTATACCTCTACAACGGGTGAGGGCACAGTAGAACTGCAGTGCTGCATAAGTGTAGGAGTGGAGGTGACAGATTTCAGAGCATGAATATTTAATTCAAGTTTATTTCTATACACATTCAGGACTATTCCTCCTCTCTGTTAACAGGTAACAAGTATCTCAATATTCCCTTAGCATTTTACAAACATTATCTGAATGTCTTGTTGAGGATTTAATAGGTAAACAGAATAAACATAATAGAGGCTACAGTGCTGAGGACTCAGACCAAACAAGGAGATAGACAGTTCTAGGTTTCTACCTTCCGGGCCAAATATGTATTTTTCTCTCTGTTTCAGATTCATGTTCATATTCGTAGCCATTGCAAGCTATATAAGTATGATTTGGGAAATTAACAGGAACTACAGTAGAGTGCTCAGCAGCTCTCAGAATTAGTCAATAAAATCATATCTATTTTTCTGGACTCAGTCATCTTGCAGGTAGATGACATTTTGTCTTGTTTTTTTAGTATAGAAAAAATAGAAGCAATGGAAACACAATTATCTCAGAAAAAAAGAAATTAATTACTGCTCTCCCTGTCCAGAATAGCATCAAATTAATAATTAAATATGCCTGGGAATTCGGGTTCAAGAAAAAAGGTCATGGCTCAGAGAACCAATTTAGAGAAAGCATTAGTACTCTGTAAGTACATGTCTGATTGTAAGGCGAGGATGACCTCAGGAACCAAGCTAGAGACTAGCTGTACCTGATCCATCAGGAGATCATTCTGAATACAACAGAAACTTAAATGAGCATAATGGCTCTTGTTTAATTAATTGTACAGTATGCTCTGTGCATCTCAAAAAAGCACAGTACTTTCTGCTCTCTCACAAAACGTGTAGCACTGAATCAGTGGCAAAAATAGCAGTGTCAAGATAATTCGAAGTCATTGACCACTGCAGGACACTAGCAAAACTGCAGTGTTTGTGCTGTAATAGCCTACCCAGCAGAAACTTTTTTTGTCCAGTGTACACAGAAATGAGATAACTAAAAGATCTTCCTAATAATAATTCATACTTTTGTTATTGAATCTCCTTTTGGATATATGCCAGCCAACCTAGGGACACAGCTATTAGCAGGGTGGAGCTGCATCCTTCTGTTTACATTGTCTAGCTTGTAGTGCAAAACATTCTTTTGAAAAGATAGGCAGAGCCTGGATTTCAGATTAGACCATTTACATATCAGAATGTGAATGTGACTTGAGAACAAGGCAGTAAGGTTTTTTTCCACCCATTTTAGTAGCAAAATTATCCTACCTTGGGAAATCATTTGCTTCTACGATGCTCAGGTTTTCAGAGTATGAGAACATGTAGTCACTGTAAGCTTTGGTTACTGGATAACAGGGAAGCCAAATACCCCGGGGGTAGGAAATAAAAAAACACAAAGTGAATACTCACATATTACTGTTTGACATGTTACGTGGGCAACCCTGCTTTTCATAGGGAAATCATTTAGGTATACCTGTCCATTAGCATAGGTGATATTAAAAACAACCTGAAAGACAGACAGACAGAATGAGTGTATGGTTCCTGGCACAATGCTACAGTTCTGTTCTCAGAGGAACACACCATACTTACTGACATCAGGGAAAACAATGCATTCGCATCCACACACAGACTCTATTTTGCTGCGCATTAATTCACTGAATAAATAGAAAAACTGGACAAACCTGTGCTTTGTGAAATTCCCCATCCCTTTCCAACGTCATAACATCAACTCTGATCGTTTCCTGGAAAACAAGGGGGAGAAGAGACTTAAGTTTCTGAGGAAACACAGCAGCCACTGCAGGCCACAGGCGACTTTCACACACTGTCCTGACAGAATGATAGCATAAAATCCCCAGAGCACATTCCCAGTCTTTCCATCCAGCAGACAGAAGAAAGAGGGATATGCTTACTTGCTCCATGTAAGGATTGTTTTGGGGGTTTCCCCCTCTTTTTAATAAAGAGCATTGATGAGAAAGAATGACAGCTGTATCCCTTATGTATAGGGTTTTTAAAATAAAGAGAACAATAGTAATCAAACTAAATTCTCAGGAGAACTTGTTTCACATGGATATAATGGAAAAGAAGCCTCTTATATTGAAAAATAATAGAAAATACAAGGTAAAAATAAGATTCTCTATAAATGTTTTTTAAGCACTCCACTTAGTCTTCAAGATGGAATACAATTTAATACACGTTAGTCTATACTAAAGAACACTCAGTTTTGTCAATGTCAACAGTAATCCTATTTCTTTTCTTTGGTTATCATTCCCAAATTATACCACATGGAACACCTCCACACTTGGAGGTAATGCGGATTTGCTTCTTTCAAACTCTATTAATTCCTATAATTTATTGACTGACTCATTCTATCCTCTCATTTTGCCCCTGTAATGTCAGGGGCTGTTTTACAGATGGAACCTTAAATCCCCCAGGGCTGCCCCTGACAAAACCCACACACAAAAGCCAAATCTCTCTTGGATATTGCCAGAAGTGATAACTGTCACACTGTTTTCCTGAGTCACCTCTTCAGAAATAACATTAAGCACCCTATTTTGACTTTTCAGAGTCTTAAATGATTCTAATTGTGTTTCATTTTCTTCTGGAAATCCATATCCTCAGCATGTTCTTCAGCTCTGTGTTTGAGTCACTGTTTCACAACTAACAGCTATAAAGCAAGTCATGTCTCGATAAAAAGTTTAACTCCCTCAGAATTTAAAATAAATAAATAAAAACTTAAACATATAAAATGGGGTTTTGGTTGGGATTTTTATAAAACACTAGGTTTTCAAGCAGGAAATACTTGAAATATACAGTACCTAGCATGATATAAGTCCCAATTCATGAACTATGTAGTGTTAACAGGGCGAATGCTGTGCATCACCCATTCCCTCCAGTGGGTGAAAGTGGATGAGCTGGGATGGTGCTCTGCTTTCCTGTGAACGTCTCGCAATAGAATTAGAGAATCAACCAGGTTGGAAGAGACCTTTAAGGTCATCGAGTCCAACCATGACCCCAGGCCTGCCAAGACCACCGCTAACATGTATCACTGAGGGCCTCGTCTACATGGTTTCTGAACACTTCCAGGGATGGTGATTCCACCACTGCCCTGGGCAGCCTGTTCCAATGCCTGAGCACCCTCTCTGTCAAAAAATCTTTCCTAATATCCAGCCTAAATAAACCTCCCCTGGCACAACTTGAGGCTGTTACCTCTTGTCCCGTTGCTTGTTCCTTGGGAAAAGGACAACACCCACCTCACTACAACCTCCTTTCCGGTAGTTGTAGAGAGTGGTAAGGTCCACAGGAGCCTTCTCTTCTCCAGACTAAACAACCCCATTTACCTCAGCCGTTCCTCCACTTTACCCGAGTCATCCTGTCTGCCCTTCATTGTGTTTGGCATGTATCTTGTGGTTCCTGCCTCATGTAGATTTTGGTATGGGGTGCATAGGGTCAGAAGATTGGCCACAGCAGAAGCCATTGAGTTTTGGGTGCAGCACTGCAAGAAAGACCAGTGGGAAGCCAGGGGAAAAGAGCAGTGAGGAATTCGCCTCCAAGGAAGGATTAAGTGAGCTGAGAGCATTAGCATAAAACCAGGTTGACTGAGTTGGAGGACTGTTATTTTCCATGGGAAGATACTATGAAGAGCAATGAACAACCTGTTTATAAACTGCAGCAAGGAAGTGTCAGGTGAGACATTAGGAAAACTTTTCATGTTAAAAGTAGCTGAGTACTACAATAAATAGTTGGGGAGAGCATAAAAGTTTTGGACATGACTGGAGCGCTTTAAGTCTGTCAAGAATTACATCAATATAGTTGATTCTGACTCTGGAAAAATTGGTCTTCCTCTGATCCTTGAAATGTTTCTGTATCAGTTCAGGAACATTTAAAGCAAGGACAATTGAAAACTGATTATTTTCTAGCAGCAGAACTTGTAGATGTGTTTGAAATGTTTCTTAGCAAGACTGCCATCAAGTCTTGTGAGACTGCTTAGTGAAGAGGCAAACCAAGAACATAGATGACTCAGGAGAATGGATGTACAAAATATAGTATGTTACCAACAGAATTTGTTGGATCTGGATGTGAACAGACTGGTCACAGGAATTACAAGAATATGAGTTCTTCCTTGCTTATAAACACAAAATTGCAAGAGTCGTGGTGTAGCTGCTGTACTGGAGTATTAACCATTGCTCTAAGTTATTGAGTAGCTTTAGAAACCCGCACCATTCTGCAGATGCACCACCATCTCCTGGGATGAAGATGAGAGAAGGCATCTCCTAAAGAGATGCTGCAAGGACAGGCAGGCCATGCAGCAGAGCCAATCCAACAGCCTTTTGTCCATCAGAACAAGGAGCTGGGCTCCCTCCCCCCAGCTGCGTTCTTGCTTCTCTTGTGCTTGTGCAGCTCCTCCTTGCTTGTTCAACTGACAGAAAAATAGCCTGGCAAAAAAAGGGAAAGTTTTCCTGCCAATTTAATGAGCTAAACTGGCTCGCTGGCTTTGCGTAAATGAGAGGGAAGGATGATGTGTGGGAGAGAGCTATGCTCTTTCAGTGGCAGAGGCAGCAAGCAGTTAAGCTGTCTTACTTGTCTGCACACTGTGATCTATTCTTTTGTAACTGACTGCACAGAAGTGATCCACTGACATATTGTCATCTCTTAAACATGTAATATGCTCTTCAAGTGCAAATTTTAATATCAACCAGAATTCACGACATGCTTTTGGATACCGCGTCAACAGGATTGACAGCTGTTTTGAAGAAAAATAATCACTGCTTATATAGCTCACTTTTTGTACATTTAACGCTTAGTTGTTGAGCATATCTATCTTGCCCTATGCCTTTCATTTTCAAATCATTTGATAAATAATAAAGTAGGGTGAATTTTCCTTTTTTTTCAGCAGTCACAAGCTATCAGTCATTTCCTTTTTCTTGTAATCTCAGTGAGTCACTCTGGAGATGTTGAAAAAAGATTACAAAACACTTTCTGCGTAAAAGAACTCAAATTGCATTTGAGGCTTAAAAACTGAGCAACTATTAAGACTGCCCGGAAAATTCATCGTTTGTGCCCTTTGAATTCCCAGAAAACAGAAAAACCTAGGAAGTGATGAGACAAGGTTTTGATAATCTGTTAAACAGTTTGACAGTGTAGAAGACGTACAGCTCCAACTGCTACAGCTGAGAGCTGAAAGGTCAGAGGATACATTTTTGTTGTTGGTAATGTACAGAATTCTTGAAACATAAGAAGAAAACAAGGTTTGAGGAAATCACAAGATGACAGAACAGATAACATCCTGTGATTATATTGTTACTTTGGTTCGTATTTTCAGTTACGGTCTTCCAGTTCTCTAAGTAACTTGGTAGTTTACATTTAACTTGAACAGAATCATAGAACAATTAGGGTTGGAAAGGACCTTAAGATCATCTAGTTCCAACCCCCCTGTCATGGGCAGGGACACCTCGCACTCAACCATCTGTGATCTCACCCAAGGCTCTGTCCAACCTGGCCTTGAACACTGCCGGGGATGGAGCATTCACCACTTCCCTGGGCAACCCATTCCAGTGCCTCACCACCCTCAGAATAAAGAACTTCTTCCTTATATCTAATCTAAACTTCCCCAGTTTAAGTTTGAACCCATAAAAGGAAGAACATCTGAATAGCTAGGATTGAGTTTCTCAAGAAAAGTCAGTATGAACACCTGCTTCCTAGAAGGGGTGCTGAGAAAGAGATTTCTCTCAGTGGTCAGAGTTTTCCTGCTGATCTGACAAATGCATCTGAAGCACCAATGACAGGTCATTTCCAGCCAAAAGGTTATCTGTCCTAGACTTTAAGCCATGCTTCTTGTGAAGCCAGATTTCTGATGAATCAGACTTGGAGTTTTCCAGTTCTTGGCATTCCTGCCTGTCTGCATACACTGGTTAACACCTGTTGTTTTAAGGATTTTTTTACATTATAGTGTCACTTCAGAAGCTATCTGTTCATGATATAGTAAGCCAATCCTGTAGTAACGAAACCACTGACAACAGGACATGTGTCCTCTGCAGTAATCCATAATGTTGCACTATCAAGTTCTGCAGAAGCTGGAAACGTGTGTAAAAACTGCCTGTACAACTTACAATACACATTTCAGTTTTAACAACATAATCAAAGGTCACACAAATTTCAGACAGTCCTGTAATTCATTGGAGTATTTGAGAAAGCTGCACTTTGAGAGTGAAAATCAAAGGTCAGCCCCAAGAAGCAATTCAGGTCCTTAGGCATCAGGCTGTGCTTTCAGCTTACCACTGACATGATGCTGTCATTCACAGCACTTTATCCCTTCCTCTGCCAGCGAATATCTTCACACAAGACACTCCGATGCACACCGAAAATGGCCCTATCATTCTTAATGCTGTCACAGAATGTAGATCCCTCTCCTGAGTTTTCCTACAATTTCTCATCACTGTTTTAGTGCTCCAGCAGAGATATTTACAGCAGTAATGACCACAGTACCTGTAAAGAGGACAGCACTTCCACCACAAATGTGTATCATTCTGCTCTAGGACAGCAGGCAACAGCAGTAAGAGGGACATACATTACAGTGAACTCAGGATTTTTTTGTGAACTTGGATCAATAAGAGATAAGCAGGCAGTGACCATTTTCTAATAATTTCCCTTTTACCATGTGCTGCAATGGAACCCAGAAGCATTAACTGGTGCAGTATAATCCCAGTAGCTGCAGCAGAGCAAGACAGCAGCAAAGAATATAAAGCATTTGGCATAATGTAAATGGAATATTAATTATTTCTTCCAGACTCCCATGGCAATGGCACACAAATCTACAGAGAACACTTCACCTAATCACAGCCTTTTATGAAAAATGCTGCACAAGACAAAGCTGTTGGTTCTGATCATGCAGGAACTTAAAAGGGGTCTGATGACAGAACCACAGAAAATCTTCTTCCAAGGACAGTGGGTGCCTGATGGGGTGCACTGCACAGTTTCTTCCAGTACAGGGTAATGCTTAAGCCCTACACCACTGCATTAGTCACATAAACCCTGTCTAGATTCTGGCACTTGCAGCCAGCCCACTTAAAGCACAGCTGTTCTTTATGGAGGCTCTCTCTGCACTAGAAGGCCTGGGGGAAGTGGAGTGGGCAGCACTGGGAACAGATGGCATAGTGCTTTGCAAGATGGCCAGCTGTACAGGGACTTGAAAGACAGACAATCCCCTCGCAGTGATTGCACAAGCCCTACTGCTATACACAGTTTGTGACAGGAAAATGTAAAGTCCAATGAAGGCTGCCAACCAGATAAGAAATAGACAAATGAGTAACTTGTTTCTGAACTTGGAAAGAGATTATGGGAAAAAAAGTGTTTGACAGACAAAGAAAACTACCACCCAAATTCACACCATTTGAGTTATGGCACTAACATGGACAACTGGTTCCATTCTCTGCTTCTGATAATTCTTTCGTCAGACTCAAACCAGAGGTATGTTGTAGGATGTTGTCAGGCATAACTGAGTTCAGAAATAACCATGGTACAGGTTTGATGTGACAGGTCTGACCCAAGAAGTTTGCAAGTCCCTCACATTTTACACCATTTTAGTACAAAACCTTCTCCAATAAGGTCTCGCATTTTTAAACTGCATGACAGTATTTAGGGTAAGATAACGAAACCCAGTATCTGCTTAAGTAACTAAAGCTGCACTATCTTCAGTTCAGCTTATACAAATATCTCTATCTTAACATAAAAATCTAGCATGGTACTTTTGCTTTAATTTTCTGAACAAACACACTTATATTCCTTTCTTGCCTTATGATGAGTCTTAGGATAATATTGCTTATCCTTTCCTTTGCCATACATATGTTGCTAGAATCAATCATCTTTGCTTACTCTCTATTAAATCAATTCATACTATGAATATTTTATCAGGAGTTTTAAAAGGTGAATACTACTTAGTCCCACATCACCAGGACATGACTGCATCATGCTGCTTTAATTTAATCAAATATACACAGAAAGATTATGTCAGATCTTTTAGGCATAAAGTTTAGAACATATGCCAGGTGGTTAATAGAGAAACTGGCACACAGCAATGAAAGAAACATTTCAGCATGGCACTATTGACAAGTTTCTTCTTTGATTAAAGTACATTACACTTACTGCACACATACTCAAATGGTTGATGAAGATTACTTTTTTCTGTTGTGACATAATCCATCCGAACAGAGGTTTCTTACAGCCAACAAATGTTTTTCAGGCAACTAAACTAAAAAACAAACCCATCTGGTAGGCTAGTATACCACTTAGAACACTGCTAAACCTGAATTATCAAGAACAAACAGAGTAAGCAAACAACAAACCATTAGCATTTGGCCCACTGTGCTTTTAGCCAGTTCCTATCAGCACATTAAAATAATACTCTGAAACACAAAACCTAATTCCTGACCTTGCACTAGAATAACATGGTCAGTTGTATTCCCGAATCATTCCCCACCTTTTTTTATTAAAAAAAAACCCACTTTGTCTACTATCAATCAATCTGTAACCCAGTTTTGCTTATCCAAATTTCAGGAGAGAGAAGAAACCAAAAGCGCACATGCTGATGTTCAAAATAAAAGTCTAGATTTCAAAACATCTTAAGAAACAAGTATTGCACAAGAACTGAGACATTCACATTCCAGAGCTGAACAAAAGCAGTCCAGCCTTACAAAACATTATCCCAATGCCTCAGAGTTTTTCCTCAGTCCTTCCACTATGGTTTCTGTAACATCATGGTCACCAACTTGGAAGTAAACTTTAATACCATGTACAAGAACTACAAAACAGGCAGCAATCAGTAGTGTGCCGCCAGTGGGCTCACAGAACATTAAAGGACACAGTCATGGTACTTGGACAAATAAAAGCTGTCCTGTTGATGCAGCCTGCTCCCAACCAGCCTGCAGTCCCAGGCCATGCTGAGGAAAGACCACAATTACTCTCACCCCAGTGCTCATTGTCTTAAGTGGGTAGGTTCTGAAGCCAACCTGACAGTATGGCATTTTCACTCTACCTACTCCCACTGTAGGAACAGACAGTTCTGTTCTTACCAGGCCACCATAAACCAGCTCATGCTCAAAACCCAGCAATAACAGTTCTACTCAAAACTTTTCCAAGATGCACTGTGCCTTCTACATCAAAATTATTCTGTTTGTACAAACAAACAGTGCATGAGGAAACACAAGTGTTCACTTTTTTAAGCTTGAGATTTAAAAAGAAAAAACACCAGAGTAAAAATGTGTTGCCTTTTTGACTATTTGAAGAGCTGTTCTGCATATACTTATACCACAACACCAATATAAAGCTAAAAAAGCACAGATAGTTGCAACCATCAAAAACTGAGTTGACAGATCACCCAAGCAGTATGGCACAAATAGACAAATTCACCCAACAAACAGCACAGCTATGCCCATAAGGCATTACACCCCAGTTACTAAATCAAGCCCTATCAGCAGTTTAAACCATACCTATTCTATTTCTGCCCCCAAGCTGGCTTCCACAGGACTGCTCTGGCACTGCCCTGCTGTGCTCACTCGTGCTTTCAGATCCAAAGATGGCACTCACAGATGTGCCTCCACTTCTTGTACAACTGCCAGCTCTGACAAACAACTTTAATGCTATTCAGTGGAAGACAGTCTCCAGGTAGATGGCAAGCAAGAAAATAGGTCTATATACTCCATTGCCACTTCTTGTGTCTTTTGGCACGTTCCAGCTAGCACTCCCCTGCTCAGACGGATAAGCAGAATACCCAAGAACTGAGCTGTGTCTGCTCTTTTTAGTGCACCTGACTCCAAGCACTTAGGCACTTTTATAGGTGTCTGAAGATCTAAATCCCCATGAAAACAGATTTAAGTAAATCTCTCTTCAAATGTTCCTAATAGAGGCAGAAACCAGGAAGTAAGCCCAGGAATCCCACTTTGCAACACGGGATGTGCCAGTGCAGGGCCTCTGTCAGGCTTTCTCAGAAGCATTTTACTTGAATAAAAACAGAACAACCAACCAAACAACATCAGCAACAACAAAATCCAAAACCACAGTGAATTTAATCACGACAGCAACTTCACGTTAGACAAGTGACTACAAACGCAAAACAGCTCTTCCCTCTTTGCAACCTCACACTTTGGGAGTTCACTATTACAACAATTAGAGGATGTACTCAGTCATGATTCAAGTACAGACCTAAGCATTCAGTTCTCTTCGGTAATTCTAGAGGTTAAAGATCACCAGTACTACAGCACATTTTTTTATTCCCACTGAGACTATCTCCTAAGCAGTACCCAAAAAATGCCTTCCACTTTATAAAAAGCCATCAAATTTCATTTAAAACTAATCTTACCAAGATACAACATAGATACTGGAGCAAAAAAAAAAACAGCATGATGTCCCACAATATACCAATACATTGTAACCCTTTGCTTGGTTCAATTTGAGTACAGAAATCACTAAAAGCAAGCATGGACCTACAGCACTGCACACTTCAATAGCGCTGAAAGTCCAAACATGGGTAGACAAGCGTTAGAATACAATGTAAATACATCTACGTTGCATAGAAGTAACAATCCCCCCCCCAGCAGTCAAATTATTATTTAGCATATTAAATCCTATATAAATCATTAAAGAGAGGGGGAAACATTAACTGAGTTTGTGGGAGATGCATAATCCTGTCCTTTTGTGCTATTTTTCCACATTTAGACCGAAATGCACTCGAGCAGCAGCTCAGCACTTTAAGCAGAGGTAACACACCTCAGTCTGCCGAGCGCTACAGCCGGAAAACCCCCTCCGGTGCCATCAGCTTTGCCCGCTCCTCCAGCGGCGGCGATGCCACCCGCCCGGCCGTGCCAGCCAGCGGCCAAGCCGCCCACGGCCGCCCCAGAGCCGCTCGCTCTCCGGCAGGGTCCGGGTCGCCCCTCGGAGAGACAGGGAGAGGGACAAGGTGAGGGACAGGGAGAGAGATAGGGACCGGCCCCGCCGCGCCCCGGCCCCATCGGTACCTGGCCCAGCTGAGGCGGCGCGGCGGGGCCCAGTAGCGCGGCGGCCAGCGGCAGCAGCAGCAGCAGCGGTGGCAACAGCAGCTCTCGCCGTCCCAGCACCGCCTCCATCTTGCGACCCGGGAATTAAAACAAAGTGAAACATCAACAAGCGGCGGCAGGGGCGGGGCGGGACCGGGAGGAAGAGGGGGAGGCGGTGCCTGGCCCCCTCCCGCCGTCACCTCCCTCCCTCGCGGGCCGCCTGACATTAAAGCTCGTCCAGTTCCAGTCCCCTGCCGCGGGCATGGAGGCCTTCTACTAGACCAGGTTGCTCAAAGCCCTGTCCAGCCTGGCCTCGAACACTGCCAAAGATGGGGCAGCCTGTGCCAGTGCCTCACCACCCTGCGCATGTGTGGAGATGTGCCTGCTCCTACAAATGTTTGTTACCATTAACAGGTGATTGCAGCCTTTGAAAGCACGTTGTATAATAATTACCCATATAGCTAATGTTAATAATTCTCTATTTGAAATAGCCAATGTACACTTATCAAACTGACTTACTTCCTTCCCTCCCTGAAGATACCTGCAGCAGGGGTTATATGGCCAGAGCAATGCCAGGCTGAGTTCTGAGCACCACATGTGCAGAAAGGTTTCTTGAAAGCAAAAGGGCTCAGTGTGCCCCAGGGCACACTCTCAGAGAGAGTCATCTGAAAGGAAGAAAGCATTAGATGAAGTTTTAAAGAGCTGGACGTCTTCAGACTAGAGAAGAGAACACAGGGAAGTTTAACAGCAGAGTCAAAACCATGGAAGTCCCATGCCTAAGAGGAAAGGAAACAAGCTGTATCTCCAAGTCCTCAGTGGATAGGAAGATTAAAAGTGCTTTAAGAAGGATTGCCATTGTCTGTTAGCAGACTTGCTAATGGCAAACATCTTCACAACTTGTCTGGTGAGGTTTTACTATAGTCAGAGCAGAGCAATAAATTAGCTGTCTTGTTGCAGCAGTCTGCAGCCTGATTTAATATCACTCTATGACTCCCACTTGGTTGACAGTGAACATAAATCCTAAGACCCACAGAAACTTAGTATTTCATATGCAGTTTCATTCACGAGATAGCAGTGCAAACATCTGGCACAAGATAGAAGGCAGTAGAAAATGAGGCCTAAGAGAGTCATATATATCTATATCGATATCTATCTATATATATAGATATATGGTAAGTCAGCTCCCCAACAAGACATTTTGCTGAATCTCAAACAGGGTGCATAAGAATTTTCAGGGATATGATGGCAGCTACAAGAATGCAGCTCTTGTTGGTACTTGCAGTCATTTGCATGTGCTGGTGGGAGGCAGTTTAAATTACCTAAATTCCTAACTGTGAGTTGCACTCCATGTGTAAATCAGAATGGGGGTTACTCCTAACAGGACTGGTGAATTCTAGACAAGCAAAGGCAAGCTGCAATACTACAGTGCTTTGTGTATGGGATTCATGATTCAAATATTTACAAAAGGTACCAGAGGCACCATGATTAATGGTATTGGTGTACATAAAAATCCCAGGAATCAAGGACTGCTGAACTTCAGAATTTATAGGTGCATCAAAATTCAGGCTGGGCTCTCAGCTGACCTGAAGGAATCCAGTATCTCACTGAAATGGAAGAGGACATAAATGCCTGTTCCTTTTTGTCTGTCTCCTTTTACAAGTTTCCTGGAAAACCACCTATGAGGTAATGCTTTCTTTCTGTTTTTGTTTCCATCATCCTTCCCCTTTTCTCCCAGTCTTTTGCACTCCCTTTTTTTCAATCCTCTTTCTTCCTTCATTTTTATTCTCTTGGAACTTAATTAAAACTGCAAAATTTATGCACTAAAACTGCTTCCAAAGTACTGCTGTTTTCCCCAAATTTCAAAGCTTTCATTAGTTGCACAGCACAACAGATGTTACTTAATGTAAATGGTAAAATTCCTCGCAATAACTAAATAACTTGTGACCAGTTTCACAAAGGAAACTTGTCCTTATGCTCCTGGTCTGTCCTTGCACAACTGAATAACCTACTCAGTGCCAGGACAGACCAGGAGCATAAGGCTTCCTTTTCAGCTCAGACACACACCTCCTAGACTCCTCTAGTCTGCTGGTGAACGTGTCCTGGCATTTATAATTATTAAAATATGTAACATTTTAAAGTGTTTTGAACTGAGATTGACTACTGTTTGAGCTGCAGAGGATGCCAGAAGCGTTGTGTTTCAGTGCTGGTGTATGATCATGAGAAGCCATTTTTCCTGTGAACCTTCACTATAGGTGTGGGTTATTAGAAGGCAAAAGCCAGTATAAGGAATAATGAAATTATGATTTAATTTCTTTTATGCCTAAAAGGAGTGGCAAAAACCTGGAGTAAGTTAGTGATACGCTTTCTTACTGACGTGCAAAGTAAGGGTTCTTAGATTAGCAAGTAAATAGTTAAACTTCAGTCAGCACAGGCTTGCAGAAAACTGATGCACATCCCTCTTAAAGTTTCAGAGTAAAAAATGTAGCGTGTGCTATAGTGCTTTCTTCCATGAATAACTGTTGTACAGGGTAGCTTAAAACCAGACTTGAATCTATTTAGGATTGATGTACAGGGTCACAAAACCAATAGAGCACTCTAAAACACATGATGGCACAAACAACTTTGAAAACTAGTATGCTATGAAAGCAGAACACAACTTTTCTGCAGTGCACATTTTGGTCCCAGGACCAGCCCACCATGTCTCCAGAACCATAATGAAGCAGGATAGTGATGAAAAGTGGGCAAATTCCCTACTTGGCTATTTATAAAGGTGCTGTAATATAATGTCATGATCTGATATTACTATTATTGCTACTTACAGGGGAGATCCTGCTCTTACCAACCATACATGCACCTCTGCTTCCAACTGTGCATCCCTGTTCTCCCCCTTCCCTAGTTCCTTTTTACTGTATGGTGAAAATTCAGGTCACTAACCTGTCAGGAATTAAATTCAGCAATAAGAAATAAATTGTTTTCCAACAGATTAGTGACTTGAATTGATTCATTGTGTGACAAGTACCAGAGCGTGACCTGCAAAGAGCAAAGAGAGCACAAGTGGAAGCTCTGTGCCGAGCAGCAGGACCCCTTGTTTTGAAGGTTAAGAGCCTTTACATTAGTTCAGCTGTAACACAGATGCCCAAGAACAGTCTGTAGAGGGTTGGCACTCTGTAGTATCAACTGGAAAGGAATAAATTTGATTTGCTTGTCTGTCCTTTCTGTCACCCACGGTAAGCTCTAAAGGTTGTGTTCTGACCATGTACTCAATGCAAATATTTGGCCTGTTAGTCACTTTATAACCTCCTATTAATAACTGTGAGGTAAACCCGGTTTTCTTTGACAATATAAGCACACACACTCCTCATTGGTGAGCACCATTCTCAAAACCTGCATGATCGGCCTCAAAACGTGTACTCTGACAGAGCAGGTTGCTGCTGGGGGAAGTCACGCTATATACCCTCTTCCCCCTCAGGCAGGCAGGACTCCGCGGCAGCCTGCCCCGATAGAGGAAAGAGGCGTGCAGCCTCCCCGGCAGCCGCGGTGAAGGCCGCAGTCCGGCGGCCGGCACCTGTCAGCGCTGTCTCGGCTCCGGGGCCGACCGCTTGTCGGTGTCCCCAGCCCCGCGGAGGGGAGGCGCTTGCAGCAGGGAGCCTCCGCGCCGGCAGGGGGCGGCCTAGCGAGGGCGGGTTGCGCCGCCGTGCCCTGCGGAAGCGGGTGAGCATCATGGCGGTGCTGCTGGAGACCACCGTGGGAGACTTGGTCATCGACCTGTACACGGAGGAGCGGCCCCGCGGTAGGAGCCCAAGGGGGTGGAACACACAGATTTTACCGCTGCCATCCGTGCCTGGATGGCACCTGATCGGTGGGGAAATACTGGGAAATACGGTTAAAAAACCGTAGGGCCTTGCGTTTCGTCGTCGCTGGGTCCCCTGTTGCCGCCGCGAAGCTTCCCCCTGTTTTCCGCTGTGCGGGAAAGGAGAAGGGGGCTTTGGGGTCTTTGCTGGCGTTCTGGCCGCTGGAGGTTGGGGTTGTCGGCACGGCTTCCACAGGGAAGGGGCTTCAAGCGGGTGGTTTCAGTCAGCGGCGCATCTTTCCTGTCTCCTACCTTGGGTTTTGGCACTTCCCGTCGGGCCCCAGTCCTGGGATTAGATTAAAGCGAGTGCGGAGTCTGCAGTGGCTATCAGCGGTACCCCTGCGCAGCTTATATATACGTGCTTAAAACACTTGGAAGCCTCAGTTGCTGTTGGGAAGCTTGGATTTTTTAAATTATGCCCTTATTATAAATGTAATGTATAGTAATTAAAAAATAAAGGCAAATATATTCTGAATTGGAAAGCAGCTGTGGCCTTTCTTAGGTGTTTGGAAAGAAAGTGTGGAGGAAAAAATGTGTTTCTATATAAACAGCTGTATTTAGGGTACTTTGAATCACTAGAGACTGGCCTTAAGAAGGGAGGAAATGTTACCTCAGAGCATTTCTCACAGCGTTTATAGGTTGTGCGCTTCTAAGTCTTAACAGTACTGTTCCAAAAATACTTTTCCACACATTGAACTGGCTGTTATATCTCTGCTTATGATATCTGGGATTTTCTTTAGTAAATTTATATGTAATTTCTTACAGCTTGTCTGAATTTTCTGAAGCTCTGCAAAGTCAAGTACTACAACTATTGTCTTATTCATAATGTTCAGGTGAGTATTATCAGTTCCTTTTTTTTTTTTTTTTCTTTTTTGTTAGTTTAAATTGACAATCATGAGATCAATATCTTGTGTGTTGTGCTTGGTGACAGAGGGATTTTATTATACAAACTGGAGACCCCATGGGAACTGGCCGTGGAGGGGAATCCATATTTTGGTAAGTGAAACTTTTGTGTTACTTAATCGGCAGAGAAGTTGTATGGGGAAATAGGGGTTCCAGTTAAATTGTCTTTAGCTCTCTTGGGTTTGAATTACTGACAGGAAGTAAAAATGTTGATGTATAAGCTTCTTTGGTTATCATACCTAAATACCTTTTTTAATTATTGTGCTGTCTTTGGCCATTCAGATTGCTTGTTTCTGGACAGTGTTCTATCTCTGACCTTAAAAGCAAAGTTAGAGCTAACAAGTTGTACATGAATTTCTGATTATTTAAAAGTTAAATAACTACAGTTTTGGTTTAGTAAGCGAAGTATTGTAATGAAGT